CATTATCAAAGATTATTTATGACAAGAAGTTAAGCCGCTAAAAAAGAAAAAAAAAAATATATATATATATTTGTCCTGCTTCTTTGTTTCCCAATGAGCCGTTAAGGCTCTACTCCCGAAGCAACTGTAAAGGTGAAAATCTTTGTCAGTTCTTTTACGCTTATACTTTTGGTGGCAAGTGGTGAAGGGCTCGAACGTACGAATCGTTCGGCCCTAAGGTGCCAAAAAATCTAGATTTTTTGGGCGCAGCCCTATTGGCTTTGCGAATAGGGTGCAGCCAAAATATATTTTTTTTTCCCAAAAAATCCCAGCACCGAAAAATTAAAAGACAAATAAGATTAAAAACGCCATCATTAAGGCAAACAAAGCAATAGCTTCTGTTAAAGCGAAACCTAAAATGGCATAACCAAATAATTGCTTAGCCAATGATGGATTTCGCGCAACAGAATGAGGTTGGATAGGGGGTTATTTTCATATAGCCCTTCACAGCAATAAGAAGGTACCCATGATGCGCGACTCCCCCCCCCCTGATAGAACCGTACGTGATAGTTGCCCATCATACGGCTCCTCTTTTTTCATATCTTACGTGATTTCTTTACTTTTTTTTATAGAAAATATTTGCGCCCTGAAGACTCTGGTACACTTGGCAAGTGTAGCCAGAGAATAACGCGGCAGCAAGGGCGCAACATATATATATTGCTGCGCCCCTTCTTATATTTTTTAGTTTCATGAGCTTTTAGTCTGGGCAGCATCGCTTTGTTTTCGCAATGAGCTTGTGTCTCTGCTTTCGATATAGCGATAGCCTTTTTTATACTTTGGATTCGGGGTTTGGTAGGTACGGAATACATTTAAGGAATTGCGGCCTTCGAGAGTCATATGCATTGCCTTCGGTACAATATGATCTTTCGGGTTCCCTATGGGTTTTCTAACGCGCAGCGGAAAAAAAAAATTTAGATTTTTTACGGGCTCTCTTAGGCTTTCTGGAACAATTCTAGGCTAATACCTTCCAGTGTTTTCATTGTCGGATCCCATCCCCTTATCCAAGTGAAATTTCAGCTTATCTTAAGCTGCTATCAGTACGTTTAAGTCCGATATTATCTCCATCAGGTTCTCATACTTCCCATTAGATTCGCGCGTAAGATTGAATAATTTTGCCAGGCAAGCAGCACAAAAAACAGTATTTTTTTCGCTTTTCCTGGTAAAAAGCCAGAACTACATTCCTCGCCAAAGAAAAAATATAGACCTGCGGCCTTTTCTGTGGGAGGTTTTCTATTCATCCCCGAATGTATATCTCTGTCACCAGGATTACCATTCTTGTAGCTGTCATCTTTGTCGACCCGCCCAGCCTGTTCAGTGCTTTCTAAGCCTAACCGACTAACGTCGGCGACCACAGGTCGTTCATTCCCCCCCTAGGGGCTCCCTTTCACTGTCGATTCTCAGTATACTTAAGTAAGGGCGGCAACCTGTGATGGGAATAATCCCCCCTAGTTTATAAGAGCGGCTATTGTCGAGATTCGTCCGCCTACACTTAAACAAGCCACTTCCCTGACTCCGCGGCATTGCCAGCTCCTCATGAGTTGGCGGGAGTTGGATTACTGCCCAAGGCCCCGGCAGAACGCAAAGCGTCATCGGGTTTCAGATGCGAAGCTCCGCACATCGAAGAATTCCGATAGGGTGCTTTTCCCCCCCGGTCAGAACCACACGTGCAAGTTTCTTCGCATGTGGCTCGTCCATGGCAAAATTTTTCAGCTTTTGCGGCAAGAAGCCGTATAAGCACTACTAGCCCTCTCTGCACAGGGACACACGGCTACTATGCGATTCCATCCCTCCTCTTCCACCTGCACCTCATAACTATGTCATTTGCAGCATAGTGTGATCTACTTTTTAGATTTGACTATGGCTACCTTAACAAGAGCCTTTGGTCTTTGGGTCTTAAGTGATGTAGTACAAGCTGGTTTGTGCTACTGCACAAGTCGGATTCATCCGTGTATTGTGAGTAATCTGCCCGGCTGTAGCCACGCTTCACCCCATAATAAGGTTAGTTATCTCACTAAGTAAAGCGGGGGCTTTGATGTGAAACTTTTTTAGATTTTTCGGAGAAGTGAGTAGTATAGTGGCGCTACCTTCTGCCCCTTTTTCGTGATCTGCGGGTTCGGACCAATTTTGTAGAAAGCAGACCCGGCCGGCTGTAGGCTATGCTATCTGGCTAAAGTTAGAGCGCAAGAGGGGAGACTCCACCGGTCTGCTGCGCCTTTTCTTTTATTGGCGCTAGTTCTAGTAGTTGCTTTCGCTGATTTTTGCTACCCCTTAGCGGGCATGCCCGCTAAGGGGTAGCGCATTACCATTTACAGCCCTTTCCTCAAAATTTTTCACGTTACGGGCTTTGTCGCATGCACGACTTGCTTTGCCCAGTGTATCCTTTGGAGTACTTATGGCTGATCTGTCACCCATTTCTTTTTAGTTTATACCTCGGCTCTTTGGCTGGCATGTACCCAAGTGTTAACCTTAAAGGGTCCATTGGGGTGATCCCTCGCTTTCACGTTTGGGTGCTTGCTCGTGGTTTAGGTTATTGAGCGGTTTTTCATGCTCCTTGCAGTTTCCCCCGGAGGGTTGTTCGCACCAAGAATTTAGTTGGGCCTTGGAGCCTTCCGGGCCGCCTTTGTTGGAAGGGGTAACGCTTGACCCTGACGCACTCGTGATAACCGTGCCACGAAACTTGACCAGGCCCCATGCTATGGTTCCCTGCGGTCTGTTTCCGCTACGGGTTAGGGGACCGCCCAGGCGAGAATCTATTAACCTTCGCTGACCCAAACGCGCTCTAGCAAGGCGCACACTAAATACGTTTCCAATACCTATAGCAGCTCCCGCTAAAGCAATGGTAGCTGCTCCTGCTCCAATGTTAACCTAAGCCACTCTATTGCTGACGCAGCTCGGCTTCCGAACCGTACGTGAGCCTACGGCCTCATACGGCTCTTCTCATAATGTTTGTATCTTCGAGAGTTTTGGCCATGTAAAAGAAAATTTTAGCAATTGCAAGAATAAAAAAAGATTTTTTTTTATTTGGTCGCTGAACAAAAGCCGAAGGGATGCGATGCACGGATTGTGCACCTTCATTCAACTGTAATGTTCGCGCCATCTTCAATCTTGGCTCTTCGGTGGTGAGTATTGTCCACCCTGTTTACAGTCTGCCTTTGTTCAACATACCTATAAATATGGCCTGTGGTCCAGCCGTTAGCCTCTTTTGGAGTGCTTACCTTTTGCTTTCCATGGTTATTCTGCCGCGAAGCCTTATAGATCCTGGATTGTAATCTGAACACAAGCCCTTCGGCCTTTAGCCGGGGCATAGCGTGTCCAGGCCGCAGGTAAAAAAAAGTCTATTTTTTATTGAAAAATATCACTTAAAAAAAAATATATATATTTTTTACCTGGAACAACCAGTTTTTTTTGAAGTTATGAGTCTCCAAGTGGGCATATCACAATAATTTATCACCGCGCTTTCGCTTTTTGGAGAATCCTGCTACCAATGAACATGTGGCCTGGCTAGCCTACCCTACGATCATTTGTTTGGAGTTCAAGGTAGTTACCCCGTTCCCGAGTCGGATTGTTGCGAAAACCTAAGAGACGAGCAATACTGCGGGAGGTGGAACACGCATGTAGAACGTAGTGGAAGCAACTACTTTCCTGGCCTCTTTTACCGTATTCCCAGAATGTCTATGATTAGAAATCAAGCTAATCATACTCGTCCTCATTGACTTGTGGTCTAGCCCCCAGTAAGGGTTCAGCATACCGAAGGTGATCGGGCACCGAAGCTTTAACTCGTTAACCAAAGTGTTCCTCTCGGTTTTCTTCCTGCGACCATTCTGCTATGAATTCCGGGGTTGCCACTCCCATGTAATGATCGAGAGTTTGCGGGACATTACCGCGCGGCAGGGATTACACCTGCATCCGACAAGAGTTAGAATACTAAGTTCCGGCAAAAAAAAAAATATATATTTTTTTTTAAGTATTTTTAGGTTTGTGGGCCAACGGGTCGCACTAATTTTGCACCTTCTAGCATAACAAGTTAATTTTTGTTTCTGTCAAAACAATGACCATTCAAGGGCTGATCAATCAAAATGAGGCCAACCCAACCATTTAGCCAAGTGATGTCATGTCCATTTCATGTGATTAGAACACAAATGAAGGCTTAAAGACGTGCTCTATTTATACAATCTCGACTAGTGGAGCGGGCCAGGAGAGACTCTTTGGAGTCATATGGCTGAGAGTTGCGCCTCATACTCAGTTTCATGAGGAATGCAATTACTATGTAATTGCGGGCGTAGCAAAAATATATTTTTTTCGGCCTTTTATCACGTTTATGTAATCTTTTACAAGACAAGTAAAATAGCCCTGGGTTCGCTTTCGAGTTCATTCGATCCTTCCTTAAAGCTGTTAAATACTAACGAGGGCCTCCTACATTAGCATTAGAAAATGGTGAAACCGGGCCTGTACCCCGGGATTTCACTATGTTGCATTGTCAAGTAATTGAAAATGAATAACTTTATGATGATATTTAAACACGGCGTTTTTTAGGGGGTCGGCATCCATTATGTGGGGTTGGGGTTACATCTCTAATTTTGGTAATAATAAGACCTCCTAGTCGTAAACCACGTAGCGACGATTCCTTTCCGTAACCTAACCCTTTTATTTCAACTTCAACCGACTTAATTCCCAGTTGAATAGCAGTTCGGGCAGCATTTTCTGCAGTTGCTTGAGCAGCATAATTGGTTGAGCGACGAGATCCCTTGAACCCCAATGAACCTGAGGAGGACCAAGTTTTTGTATCTCCTTTATAATCTGTTACAGTAATAATGGTATTACTTAAAGTTGATCGAATATATGCAATACCGTGCTTTTTTTTCTTCTGCATGAGTTTTTTTTGAATTTTAGATTTTGTTTGATATCATCGATTGGGTTTTTTTACAATCCATCTTATCTGTTTACTAATTAAAAATCAATTTTGTGGAAAAAGTTTGTACAAAATAATCTATTAAACAAAAGAGAACGCCGCAGCTTTTGGTTCTCCGGGTGAGAGATTCTATTATCCGAGCCCGCCCCGCCTTTCGGCAGTTACAGTGCAAGAATAGAGAAAGAATATGCGATGACTAAAAAAAAAATATATATATATAGATTTACTGCGCCCTTTGACTTGTTGTGCCTATATGGCAACCAATAGGAGCCGGCCTTACCAATCGATGATGTTTTTGCGGAGGAAAAGCCAATAACAAAATGTGTTATTGAATTTCAATTTCATTGCACATCGCTTCGCGCCTTCATCATTTATTGTGAATGATGAAAAAAACTTACAGCCTGCGGCCTGAATCAACTTCGTTGATTGATCGAAACGTTTCTGACTTTGCGACAAGTCTTAGCATTAGTATGAGTTCGTTGACCACGTAAGGGCAATCCCGCATTATGGCGAAAACCGCGATAACAACCAATACTCATCAATTGTTTAATATCCCTCTGAATTACTCTCGCTAATTCTAAATCAACTAAATAATTTTGACTTATTATTTTGATAATTCGGTCAATTTGATACTTAGTTAACTTATTAACTTTAATGTTATCATTGAGACCTAATTGATCACAAACTTGAATTGCTTTTTTAGGGCCAAGTCCAAAGATTCGAGTTAAAGCAATTTCTACTTGTTCATTCGGCACTAAATTAGTTCCTAAAATATATGACATGATTTATTTTTTTTTTCCTTGTTTCTTATGTAGAATTTCGTTTCGATATTGTATACCTTTTCCTTTATAAACTTCAGGAGGTTTACAACTTTTGATGCTGGCAGCAAATTGAGTTACTTTTTGATGATCTATTCCAGTACAACAAATAAGATTAGGCTTGAAGCAAAAAACGCGAACTGCAGACGTGACTTGAAGTCGAATCTCATGACTAAAGCCTAATTTTAGATATAAAATAGAGCCTTGTGGATTAGTACTGGCTTTGTACCCAACTCCAATTATTTCCAAAAAACAAAATAATTTGGCTTCCATAAACTTGACTTAATTTTTTTTTATAAACTTGGCATAGAATCTCGCCATCGGTTTTTCGTACTTCACGATCACATATCAAAGCCCACTTTGAAGTGGATAAGATTCTTTATTATATACTAAGCCCTAAACGAGTTGTTGATGAAGAAATTAGAGATTCCGGTTCAGAGATTTTTTTCATTTTTTTTATTAAATCTATTCCAAAAAAATGACATTTTAAAACGATTCTCAACCTTCTGTTTGCTTCCTTACAGAATCTGTTAATAGAAAACTTGCAGTGTACAAAATAATAAAAAAATCCCGATAGAGACGCAAAACGGAAACAGCAGAGACACCTTGATGCTAACAAAAGCAAGCCTTTTATTCTCTTTTTATTTTTTTGAATAATTAAGATAGGTAGGCCCTCAGAACTATACGTGAAAGCTTCCGCTTCATACAGCTCCAGTTGATTAGCAGAGGTGCTGTCGTCGGGCGTTCGCGGGCGCTCTCAGGGCATTCTTAGTTCATCCGCAAATCTAGTACTCGCGTGATTTGCTGATGGCAAGTAGCATGCAAAGGTTAAATGTTAAAAGCATCCCAGCCGCGACCTTTTGACCAAGGTACAGATTCACCAGTTACCTATTGTATAGTCACTCTCTTTATAGACTACACGCCGGTAATAACACCTGCGGTAGACTATGGAGATATTCTATTTATAAGCATTTTGCGGTCCTTCTAATAAGAGCTCCGGCCTTCGCTTGGGTATAGAACTCTTATTTCACGGGATTTGACCATTACGCGTTTGAAAGTTCTTATGTTGAAAAAGCTCATTGAGGTGACGGAGGCGGTAGAATATATTTTCTATTTTATTAGTAAACGCGGGCGGATACATATTTTCTTGTACGCTCATTTAAGCATGCTGCACGAAACATTAGTTCCTTGCCTGCTTATTGCGGCGGATGAGATTTGCGCGTAACCTGATTAAAATCTTGTATAATTCTAACAATGGAGTTGTTCCACGCCATCAACTCGCGCACCTTGGTACGCAGAGAGTAGCCACATTTTGTAGGTTAGGTAGGATTGTGATACAATAATGGTTTACACCCGGCGAGATTTTGTGGACCTTAGGGCGAAGCCCGTGGTTTCAATATCCTTCATCTTAAAGGACCCTGCTTTTTATTGGTTTTGACCTCTTTGGAAATAAGACCGCATTCTTCCTGTTATAATAGCAATTTTAGAACTTCAGCCAGGAAGATCAGGGCAACCATCCTCTACATAACTTTTTACGTGGTTCAGCTACTGCTGATTCACTAGGAGTGGTCCCTTTTGCAACCTTATGGTAACAAAGCCCAGCAGGTACGTCTTGGGTTTAGGGCGCATACATAGCGCGGCACACCGCTTGAGCTCGTTCGGTATTCAGAGGCCAAAGGGCGCACAGCGCTGGAAAAAATTAAGCCAAAAAACGTAAAGCAAAAAAAAATATTTCAAGCAAAAAATATTTTTTTTTGCTGCACCCTATGGCTACCCGCAAAGCCAACCTTTATTCCACTATTCCACTGACTACCAACACGATTTGTTTATGCCTATTAAAGAACCTTTAGATGCTAATTCACGAAAAACTATACGAGAAACGCGAAATAACTTATATACCGAACGAGGGCGACCCGTGAAAATACATCGGTTTCTTACTCGTGTTCTGGAACTATTTCTTGGCAACTTAGACGACTTTAAAAAATATTCATAACGTATTTGATTAGGGAGGTTTTTATGTCGAGAAATTGCTTTACATTGCATTCGCTCTAATTCATATTTAGCCACAAGTAATCTACGTGTATGATCTCGTATAATTTGATTTGACATATGACTAAACCTCTTTTTGTAAAAAACCACTCCACAAAATGAAAGCCTCATCTTGTGTTTTAGCTGAAGTAACAATAGTTACATCAAACCCTTGAATATGTTCAAAAATCTCGAAATGATTTTGTATTTCCGGAAATAATCGTAACAACGACGTTGGCATTGATAATTGAATGGAGCTTTTTTGTACTTTAACTGGGTAATCGTAAAAAGATATTATCGTAATAAGTTTTTCCAAGAAATTATACATGGTATGCCCTCGTAGAGTGCTTTGTGCTAGGTAAGTGACATATCCTGTGTCTTTTTTTGACTCTCGATTCAATATAAATTTATTAAATCGAAACGACTTTCCTGCCGAATCTCTGCTTCGTGTCTGTATGAATTTTTGACCACAAACAATCTCCATAGCTAATTTTACATTTTTTATTAAATTAGAGGGTGCCTTTGGAACTATTATTATTTTACACAATCTAGGAACTTCCATAATGTTGGCATAATTCAATTTTAACAACAAATCTTGACGTAATAAATTTTCGTAATGAAAACGGAGTCTATTTGGAGTGAACATAAGTTGGCTGTTTTTTTTTATTTTAGGTAAAAACGAATATAAGCACTGTGCCCTATCTGATTTAGAAATAGCGGGCTGTTATGCGTTCCTTTTACATAATAAAAAGAAAAGCGTAAAAGGACGTAGTAGCAAGCTCTGGATTAGCTTCGCGCCCCAAGAAAAAATGGTTTTTCACTTTTCGCAGTAAATATTTTATTTTATTTTAGCCCGGAAGCCTTAGCTCTTCACTCGGGGTCTTCGACCTCAACGCCATGCTCTTTATTATATTCATTCGGAGAAAGCTCAGAAAAAAAAATTTATTTTCTTCTTCCTTTAGCCACTTGCTGAGGAGCCGGGCCTAGCAAAGCCCGTGAAAACAAGAGCTGTGTGGGACAAAACTCCGCTACGCAATTTAATCTATTACATGGTTCACCTTCCAGGCTGCGAACAAAATAATCGTCTTGGACTCGAGGCCTTCGGCCTCAAGGCATTTTATTCTGTTTCGCGGGCTAAAATCAATTTATTCGCATTGCAAATAAATTGTAAGTCGCGCCCTTCCTTCATTCCAAAAGGCGCAGCAAAGAGCGGTATATAGATATTTATTGCTTTTTTTAGGCTTTTTTTTTTAACCTTTGGGCTATATGGGGTCAAAGACCATGAATTATTTATAATAATAAATTTCTTACTCGCTTTACGGTTTCAACACTTCTACCGTCCCGACTGCTTGTTCGTTTTCAGGCCGATAGAAGCCATAAGTTTCCAAAGATTCCTGGTCTTTACCCACTTTCTTTGCTTTGCTCCGCGCCTTTCGGCCTTGCTATTTACTAACCAATTAAAACCATTGAACAAACTTGGTTGACAAACATAGTTTATGCGCTGCTAATGTGGCAGCTTGTTGCGCATTTGACAAACTCACACCATCCATTTCAAATAAGATTTGTCCCTCTACCACACGAGCAATCCAACCTGTAGAATTCCCTTTTCCTTTTCCCATTCTGACTTCGGTGGGTTTACTGGTAATAGGAATATCTGCGAAAACTCTTACCCATATTTGACCATTTCTTCGAAATTCTCTGCTTATAGCACGACGCGCCGCTTCAATTGCTTGATATGAGATACGACCAGCTTCACAACTTTTCATGCCATATTTTCCGAAACAAAGTTGTGTACCGTCTGCTTTGCAACCCTTAAATCTGCCTTTTTGATATTTACGAAATTTTGTACGTTTTGGATATAGCACAACTTGTCCCTTTTTTTGTGTTAAAAATATGAAACCCACACTTTGACACCTAAAATCCCATAAGGAGTAGATGCTTGTGCTTTCGCATAATCAATTTGATCGGAAAATACATGTAAAGAGGTTTCACCGTACTTTCTGCATTCAGTTTTAGCAATTTCTGCGCCATTTAATCGGCCTGAACAACAAATACGGATTCCCTTAACATATTGGCATTTTTCAATCTGTTGAAATGTAGATCTACAAATTTGTCGAAATGATTTTTTTTGTTCTAGTTTCCAAGATATTTCTTGAGCAATTAGAGAAGCACTTTGATAAACAGAAGCTATTTTGACTGGCCTAATTAAGGTATTAGTTTTTGTTTGATTAGATAAGAAAAATTGCATTTTTTTCCAATAATAATAACGACTGAACAAAGAGTGAACTTTCCTCCATTCAGCATCTCTTGAAATAAAGGGAGCACCGAAATCCAATATAGACCAGGGTTGACGAATCGGCTCTGTGCTTTTTATTATGTAATTATTAGCTAATGGCATGCCTTGCTCGCGATGGATTTGAAAATGAAGCCTTAAAAGGCTCTGTTTGCGCAAGCAGTGGAGGGCATTCTGGTGTGGGAACATTCGTGCCCGGGCGAAGCTGGGGAGCGCCGTGCGCAGAGCTAAAAGCTCTTCTGCGCTACGCATCTCTGTCCTTCCGGAATTACTAGCTTCAGAGGAAAGCCAAACTGAATAAGCCGTTTGGATGTTCGGAGAAATTTCGGGTCTATTTTTTCTTGCAAAGCCCACTTTGTCCGCTTGGCGAATGAAGTGGGTAGAACCTCGTAAGGCTTCGACATAGGAGCCTTGCGCGGTTTTGTCCATATAGGTTAAGCCTTCTTTTTTCGAACAAATGCTTTTATTCAAGAGAATAGAACGCATTCTTTCCTTCAAGCTGTCCTCTTTCTTTTTTGCTTCCTCCGGCATATATCTGCTCCGTGCCGCCAAATCGGAAACTATGTTAACAATAGGATCAAATTGAATTCGGTTCTTTGGATGAAAGAAGTATTGCATGACCAAATGATTTAAGGGAGCACGCACAGCTGCAAAAATGGTCTGTGGAAATACGTCGCTAATTTGACGCAAAGAGCCAAAACGAGAAAACGCATAGCTTTTTTCTGACATTTTTCTGTCATCATTCTCCAAAAGGGCATCGTTCTTCAAAGAAGTAGAGTTTTTGGAGGCCATCCAACCGCTGATTCGAAGTAATTGATCGATTTCGTGCATTGATGGTAACCTATCATCGTATCCATAGCGCCGACTCTTGACTTCGTTTCGCTGTATCTCTGTAGCGTCGTCAATACGCCTAATCAGCTTGACCGATTGTATTGCCCCAAGGCCTGTGTGTCTTGACCGGCTAAGTCGATCCAGAAAAAATACGTGAATGAATGTCCTTTTAGGAAAATGATGAATAATAAACTTACCGAGACGAAAGCCAAACGTTTTTCCCGTAGGTGGACGTATTAAATCAAAGTAATCTCTAAAATTTACATCTTGATACAACAATTTTCCATAATAATAATCACTAAACCAACTTGAATCTGAACTACGATTCAGATTCAATCTGACTGAAATCGGATTTATTTTTTGCGCCATAGTTCACTATCGTACCTTTTTTTTTTGTCTTATTTTTGTTTTTGAGGGCGAAGCTCTCTTCCCAGAGGAAGAAGGTTTCCGTGTAGAAGCAAACTCTCCAAATTTATGACCAACCATTTCTTCAGTAATTTTTAAACCAACAGAACCTTTTCCGTTATAAATTTGTGCATAGCAACCAACAAATTGAGGCAAAATACAAGATCTACGTGACCAAATTTTCCATCTGATCTTTTTTTGCTTGAACAAGCAAGCATCCACAAAAGGGCCTTTCCATACAGATCGTGTCATAAACTAATTTCTGCGTTTTCTTACTACTGTTTTAAATCCACCTTTGGCGGGCTTTCCCCAAGGTGATACCGAAGGTCTACCTCCTTTCGTGCGTCCTTCGCCTCCTCCATGAGGATGATCCACCGGATTCATAGCAACACCCCGAACAATGGGACGTCTGCCTAACCATCGGCTTTGTCCCGCTTTGTCAAGCTTACGTTTACCATGATGAAGATTGGACACTATACCGACAGTAGCTCGGCATCGGGAATCTATGAGTTTGTCAACACCCGAAGGTAATCGCACGATACATTGTGGTGTATTTTCGAATTTCTTAATTATTTGAGCAAAGGTCCCTGCAGCTCGAATCAACTTTGCGCCTTGACCTGGATTCCATTCAATATTATGTACCCATGTGCCTATGGGTATATTAGCCAATGATACGCAATTTCCTACCATTTGATAATATGAATCAAGTATGTTTTTATTCTCACTTGAAGCGTAGTTCCCCCCCGGGCGTAGCCCAGAAGCAGCCTGACTACGCCGCGTGGGCTCTTCCACCCTAAGGGACCTTTGGCCTTCATTTGTTGTGTGAACAAAGTGGTTTTGGAACCGAAGGTCGTTATGGGCTAGCAAATTATGGGAAGATTGATGTTGGTCGAACGAAGTCGAAGGTTTAGACCAATCACAATTCATTACCGTCTTGCCAGCTTCTAACTGATCACTAGCTAATATATAAGTGAAAGGTGCACGATCTACTTTGCCCGCTCCAACCATCGGTCCTTCTTCGCTATGCTTAGGTTTAAAAGAAAAAAATATATTGCTTCTCCAAGAAAGCGCTTTGCGTTCGATTCTTTGCACCCCGCTATGCGTTTTCCACTTTCCGCCTTCACTTCTAGAAAACGTATTATGTTCCCCGAAGTCTTTCATTCGGGAAGCAAAGAAAGTGGGCTTTGCCCCGGCTAAAGCTATCCTAGGTAAATCAAGAAAGCTACCGAAAGGGCCTAAAATTGCAGCCTCTCTCTTTGCCTTTAGGGAAAAAAGGGCAGAGAAAAAAACGTAATTTCTTCTCTGGGCTTTCCTGGACAGGGAAGAAAACGAAAATAAGAGGCCAAAAAAAAAAAGATTTTGTTCTCTTCGACCAAGAAAACGCTTGGCTTTTTCTTCTGTTTGACTATTGGCTGCCTTTGGTTGTTTCATTGCTTCAAGCCATCGTACTAAAGCAATCCAAGAAGAACGATTAGGATCATAGTCGATTCTTTGTACAAGGCCAATAGACGAAGTGTTCCGTTGAAAATCAATTTTTCGATGCAATCGCTTTGATCCACCTCCTCGATGAAAAACGGTAATACGCCCTGATGAATTTCTGCCAGCAGACTTTTTTTTTAAACGAAAAGTTAATTGTTTTAGTGTCATGGTGTATTTGCCTTTTTTATTTGTATCAATGTCTCATCTACGATGATTGATCGTCTGCAGCAAGGTTTGCTATCATCTTATAATGAGATGAATTGAACTGCGAGTAGATCATAGAGTTGCTGCGCCCTTCTCGCGCTTTTTTTTAGCCTTTTTCTATGTATTCTTATTTTAGATTGTTTTCCGTATATAAGATCTTTTTTTTAAGCGATTCAATCTTGTGTGTGTCAAGCAGGTGCCCTAGGCTTGCATTCTCAAAAGATTTAATAACGATGCATTTTAGTTAGTCGTTACATAATTAAATTAGTGCTTTATGGCATTCCTACGTAATGCCATAATCCTGATGGGCCGCGGGCGCTTTCATCGTTCCACCCGGCCCTGTCATTCGCTATGCCAAGGGTAAAGCAGACAGCAGAATGAAATATATATATTTTTTTTTTACTGCGCTCTGTGGCCTCTGCAAGCTTATTTTATCTACTTACCGAAAAGGCATGAAGGGCGCTGCAAGCCAAGGCACCCTCTGCCTCTGCGCCCTTTGTTCGCCAAACGAACAAAAAAGTGCGTAGCTCTGGAGAGGAAAAGCCTTAAAACAGCGCATTCCGTAGCAATTTGCTATGTATATACTTCTCCGCAAGCTATGTTGATGAGTCATCATAGAGGCTTCAGCGGCCTTCCGAGTTTTGCGGAAAAAAGAATTTTTGGCTCGATAAAGCTAGGGTCCTACCTGTGAAATAGTAGTTCTATCTATCTACCTCTCCAAAAACAATATCTTGAGTACCAATTATGGTAACAACATCTGCTAGCATGTGATGCTTAGACATAAAATCGAGCCCTTGTAAATGAGCAAAACCAGGTGCTCTTATTTTACAACGATAAGGACGATTGGTTCCATTACTGACTAAAAACACACCAAATTCTCCTTTAGGTGCTTCTACTGCGGTATAGGTAGAAGAAGCTGGTACAGAAAAACCTTCTGTATAAAGTTTAAAATGGTGAATTAAAGATTCCATGGATTGTTTCATTTGAGATCGTGAGGGAGGACATAGCTTACGATCATCCGCTTTAATCATGCCACTAGGCATTTGATTAAGACATTGCATAATGATTCGAATACTTTGTCGCATCTCTTCAATACGAATACAATAACGGTCATAACAATCTCCTCTGGTACCTACGGGTACATCAAAACTCAATTGGTTATAAACATCGTAAGGTGCTGATTTTCGCAAATCCCAGCATACGCCTGAGCCTCTTAACATTACACCACTGAATCCCCAATCCAAAGCTTGCTGTGCAGTGACAGTACCAATATCAACTAATCGTTGTTTCCAGATACGATTGTTGGTTAACATTTCTTCTATTTCGTCAATACGAGAAGCAAATTGTTGTGTAAATAGAAAAATATCTTCACTTAAGCCCAAAGGCATGTCTTGTGCAACTCCGCCTGGTCGTATGTAACTGGCATGCATCCTGGCTCCTGAAACTCTTTCATAGAATTCTAAAAGTTTTTCTCGCTCTTCAAAGGCCCACAGGAACGGAGTTAATGCTCCCACATCCATAGCATGAGTAGTTAAAGCAAGTAAATGATTTAAAATTCGAGTTATTTCACAAAATAACACTCGTATATACTGAGCTCGTAATGGTACCTCACAATTACAAAGTTTCTCTACAGCTAAAGAATAAGCATGTTCTTGGGCCATCATAGAAACATAAATAGAGTCAAAATTTAATTGATGCCAGCTATGCTGTACACATTCACTCGCATCACATAATAAAGTGCTCCCCGAACCGTGTGAGATGGTCACCCATCACACGGCTCTCTAACTTGAGTTACCCTTAGGTTTTAAATAAGCAGGCCAGGAGCGCAGCATCATAATGGTTGAGTTTTTGACTTCAGAAATATTTTTGCTTTTGGGTGATAAAGTTTGGTTTGAATAAAGCGTCTGCCTGGTTTATGCGCTAGCGAACGAACCAAATATTCACGGCTTCCTTCCTTTCTTGGAAGTCGCGCATTCTGGCTTAATTTCCAAAGAGTATGGAGTAGGCTGGTCTTCTCCGAACTGCTCAAGTGCGCGGCGTCAGTCCGCCGACTTAGGCCTCTTTCCTTTTGCTTTACAGCGGCACTTCCTTCCTTCGTTTACATGGTTCTCGAAGCAAAGGCTAGGCAGGTACTACGAGCCCTCTGTCCCACGCATCTCTATCTAGAAAAATGTATGGTTCACCGGTTCCACCGAATGCTCCTATCTCTTTACAAGATCGTGTGAGTGTGTAGTTATGCTTCAGATGCTTTGCTATATTCATATTGAATCCTAGTTTCTGTTTCTATCTCCGGTGTACTCGCTTTAGATCTTCGACACACAAGGAAAGACGTTGTAGGGGGAGGCTGCACTCAGAAAACTTAAAGCCAGCAAAAAAAAATATTTTGCCTTACTTTGTTGTCTTGCCAAGGGAAGCTTATTTTCCTTCTAGCCCAGCGCGCCCAGGTGATCATTCCGCTGGCATCTCTCATTCATGATACTTTCCATTTAACTGACACTCAAGGATGCAGTTGAAGATACGGCCAAGGGTTGGCTATTCCCAGTTATCTCCTTTTACGACATGCTGTCGTCGTCGCCATATTTTATATGTCGATTAGTCGTATCTGTTTTGCTGCGGGTTTCTGCAGCACCTCCAGAATGGAGGAGTTCATTCGGTGACTTCGCGGTCGCCCTCTAAACGATCAAAATAAGGTAAAGCTTGAAGATAAGTTTTATACTCGATTAATTTTTCTGTGCCTCTAGTCGGGTAGGCGCCGATCTTTCGGCCGGAACCCCCCCAAGAACCGTACGTGCAAGTCTCCTCGCATACGGCTCGCGCCATTTATTACAGGTGGCCCAAGATTCGAGAAAAAAAAGGCTGAAGCCTGCAAAAAAAAATATATATATGCTATGCTCTGCAGCCGTTTTGGTAGCTTGGAAATGTGCATGCGCAAATTTGAGACTGCTTTTTTTCCAGTTCATGGAATTCCATGAAGTTTAGGCAGCGCTATCTGTCGTACCCCTAACCCGCGGTCTTGGCCCTATGGCCCCGCGCTTCAACCACAGTGGGGTCCTACGAGCTACCCATTTTCACTTCCTCCTCCAGTTCTGATTCGAACCTTTCCACTTCCGTTAAATGACCCGGCCTCCCTGGCTTGACCTTCCGGTTATGCTCTTGCAGCTCTACCGGTTCCTCCCCCCGGTTTCCTCGTTGCTAGAATTTTCCCGTATGCTTTTGACGCAAGCCTTATCCCCTCCGACTCGTGTCTTCGCTAGATAGTATTTGCCAGTAGTGCCGTCCTACCCGACCTAAGGTTTTGGCTTGTACCTTGTGGTTAGCCTACCCATTGTAAGAACAATAAATTGGCGGTTGAAATGGGACCCCAGGCCGGTTACACGTTCCGCTGTGCCGAGATGCGGAGGGGGCTGGTCGTGATAATCACCCCGCGGGAATACGCGTGCGCCCTTGGCGGGCACTCCAGGACCCGCCGACGCGTTCTTGTTTCCAAGAAAGCCCAGTGGTCGGCTTATAAGTCAACCACAATGGGGGACTCGGCGTCCCCCTATTCATCTCTGTCGAGACCTCTAGTGTGGATAACGAGGCCACCTTCACGACCTTCTCCCTCCTTTCCCCTGAGCGATTTGCCTCACTTGAGTTGCCCGACAAAGCGCCTTTTGCCCGGTGCTTATGACGCGGAAGTCGCCTCCACGCGCCACCCGTGGTGGGGAACAAGCAGGGCATAGCTAGCGGCATAGGATATGCCGACTCGGCGTCAGCGGCTTCATGCCGCACTGAAGTAATCCAATATGCGGTTCCGCGCGTTCTACAACTTCTCCATTCATTTCTAATACTAATCGTAAAACACCATGAGCAGCAGGATGTTGAGGTCCAAAATTCAAAGTAAAATTTTTGATTTGTTTGGTTTTAGCCATATTGAATCATTTTTCTTTTCACAGAGCCTACAACCGGACTTGAACCGGAGACCTTTCCCTTACCATGGGAATGCTCTACCATCTGAGCTACGCAGGCCAATAGATACTGTTTGTATTATTAAGGAAAAATACCGTAATTTAAGTTGGCTTAAAACTACCTTTCTGTTTCTTGGCTTGGCTGCTTCGCAGCCTGAGGGCCTGCGAAACCGAAAAGTAGCTTTGCGAAGCAGGACACAAGAAGAAGAAATCCGAGGGCACTGCTGCCCGCGGCATGCATTAGGGCGCCAACTCTCCACTCGAGCATAGAGCGCAGCCAAAGATTTATCTTGCCAGCGTTCTCCTAACGCGTAGTGTCCCCCATCTTTACCTTTAACAGGTTTTAGTACAAATTATTCAGTTTGGTCTTCAGATTATCTTTTTCAAAGCCAAGTTAAAGTGCGAAGCATAACGAGATCTCTCGCAGCTATTATAAAGCGTAATTCATCCAAACACTTATACTGCTTTTTTACAATATAGCACTTGTTTATTTGGAGACGATCGGAGTTGAACCGACAGCTTCATGCTTGCAAAACATGCGCTCTACCAATTGAACTACGTCCCCTACGGAGAAAAATGGATTTGAACCCATGATACAGTATTGTTGTATTTGTCAGGATGGGCGGGCCCTCTCATGCTTTCCTCTTCCGATTAGAACCACACGTGCGAGTTTACCCACAGACGACTTACGCGACCTATTAACCATGTTAACCCGCAGAAGTAATGTTTGAGTCATTGGCTACTGATGCCCTATGTATGACACTATTGTGGGAAGTTAAGTGTAAGAATTCAACCTGCGGTCTGTCTGTCAAACATTTTTATAAGCTTACGCTTACCCGCTTTGCCAGGATGAAAATCCACTTCTCATTATCCCGGGAACTGCTATATTGAATAGCGCAAGGGCAGAGCAAATAAGGCGCAGTAAATCTTTCTATCTCATTATAAGAGATATAACCCTTTCCACCGCCGGCTTCCCGCTCGGGGCGCCAACTATTCCAATCCTTAACCTATGATATTCTATATAGAAAATCTTTCGGTTCCGTCTTAGATTCTTTTTGACAAGGTCTTTGTATTAGTTCTTTGCACTATTCATCCGCATAGCATAATTTTTTTTTGCAATCTCTTTACCCTAGCATTAGCTTAGTATGTAATCCCAACCATCATTACATTGTCCCTAAAGTTTCACACCTCAGGATTACTTTTGACACGAGTAGGCTAAGGGCGTAGCCCTGTAAAATTGAATCATATTACATCGCATGCTTTTTAGTCATACTTTGATAAAAAAAAAATTTTAACTGATTCAGTTACCAGTTTAGAAAGAGAGATATATATCTCTCTTTATGAACTGATTTTATAATAATTCATTTTTGAATCAAAAAATTACCGGGAAAAACGGGATTTGAACCCGCGACTTCTGGCGTGACAGACCAGCACTCTAACCAACTAAGCTATTTTCCCAAACATAATGAATCATCGTAGATGATTCATCGGGGTCTTTCCATTCTACTGGCTACATACGTCAGTAGAAAACCGAAAGTGAAAACGAAAGTCTCGTTCAAGCGAAGCCACAAGTCTAATGGCTGCGCGGCTCTCTGCTTTGCACTGAAAGGCGCTTCTTCGCGGTTAATCAACCTGTGGCCTTACATGCTGCGTTGGGATGATTACGCAGTAATGGCCAATAAGCCCGAGGCGCTTCGGCCCCTACTCGCTATGCTAGTGGAGCCATATGGAACCAGGACACCTAAATGTCCACAGTAAAAAAAATATATATATATTTTTTCTCATGACCATCTTATAGTTCAGATTGTACCATAAACTAAGAAAACGCCATGCGTTTTCTACTTTAGTTGGCCCAACAATAAGCAAAGCAAAAAAAGCGATAATATATATTACCGCTTTTTTGCTTTGGTTTGCCACTTGTTTATGTTTTCTTTAACTGTGTTATTCTTTTTCGAAAATAATAAGCTCTCATTCGCCGTGCGAATAAAGCGGGCTTGCTTTTTTTCCCTCTTTTTTATTATCGCGGTTCTACCACTATCAATCAAATTAGTAAATTTATTCATATGCTAGATTCAATTTATAATCACGGATAATGAAAACCCTTGGGTAATAACGGACTTGAACCGCTGACTCTCTCGGTGTAAACGAGGCGCTCTACCAACTGAGCTAAGTACCCTAATGTGCTAAATAATCAATTAGAAAAGAACACATCATGATTAGTTTATTTTTTATTAAAGGTGTTCACTTTTGACCAATTGCTTGACGCTTTATTTTATAGCAACACCTAAATTTATCTTTCACAGCAACGCCACCAAAGTGGTTCCTCCAGCCTATTGGTTAAAGTAAAGTGGATAAAAAGCCGGACCCGAAAGCAGGACCGTAAGGCTTAAAGAGAAAAAGCATAGCAAAAAAATATTTCTTTTTTTTTCAAATAACAAGAAAAATATCTATTACCACTTTTTTCTCTCATTATATAGCACAAAGCATCAACAAAAGGTAGGTCTTCATGCGCTAATCTCTTTATTGATTGTATATAATTGAGTATACTATGTAATTGATATAGAATGTCTCTTTTTTTTTCATTTTGTTGGAAAGAGCGCGGGGGAAGCGAAGCATATTATTCAGAAGCTCTTTGGCGAGAGGAAAAAGTAGCCCCGGAAAGCTACCTTCATCTTTCATTCGCTGTGCGAACCCTCCCAGCCGCTTTTTTGGGCTTCCCCCATCGCAAAAAGATCTATTCTATTATTTTTAGGCATTCACTGTACGGGAACAGACAGTCATTGTTCCGCGAAATGCTTTACTAGTTTCCACCCGATAGGGCAAAAATAGTAAACTGCCAAGCAAAACAAAAAAAATCAAACGCACGAAAACAAACTAATTTGGCGGCGCCCTGCTCGACTCGTTTGACGTCCCAGCATCCTCTCAGTTAATTTCATCAGAGAGCCGGTGCGGCCTTACGGGCTCTCTTGCCGCGGGCTGCACTTTGTTGGCGTAGCCAACAAAGGCTCTGAGAGCTCAATAAAGTTAATGAATGACTTATTATGCCTACTTATCGAGGTTTATCCCATTTTGTTTGCGCTGCGATGGAAGGAATGCTAAAAGCCAAAACACGATAAAAGCAAAAAAAAATGTTTTTTGCTTTTATCGTGTTTTGGCTCAGAAATTCCCGGGTTACTCCCAATCTAAAGCGCCCTTTTTCCATTCGTATAAAAATCCAATCGTCAAAATCAATAAAAATACTATCATAGACCAAAATCCAAACAAACCAATCTTGTTAAGAGAAACTGCCCAAGGAAATGAAAAGGTGACTTCCAAATCAAATATAATAAATAAAATAGAAACGAGATAAAATCGTATATCAAAACGACTTCTGGCATCATCAAAAGGATCAAACCCGCATTCGTAAGCTGACAATTTCTCTGGATAAGCCGAATTAGAAGAAGAAGCAAATAGAAAGGAAACACCGATTAAGATCAAAGAAAGTAGCAAACTTATTACTAAATAGACACAAATAGGTGCAAATTCCATAAACCAAGAACCACTTTTTTTTTTAGGAGAATAGTTCCAATGGTAGAACAATGGTCTCCAAAACCACAGGTTAAGGGTTCGAATCCCTTTTCTCCTGATTACACCAGCCAGAATTTGGTGGAGGTAGCTATCAATCATCAAAATGATTGATTCATTTTAGAAATTGTTGCGGAGCGATAGACTTGATTTGCTGGAGCTATGTAATATATATTGTTTTTGTTAACGCTCACACATGCATAACTTGCAGCCCACACATGCATCACTTGCAGCCTCTAAGCGCCAGAAAGTTTCCAGAAAAGACTGATGCATTACTCTATCTAAGCGCGAGCCTGCGGCCAGATGCATTACGGCAATACATAGTCAATCTGGGTCATCCAGTTATCTTTGCCGGCATTAGAATGCCCTTATTGCATACGTAAAGAATATCTAATAGTACAAATACGCAGTAAAAACCTACAGAACCTACAAATAGTACATTCTACAAATAAGCGTTCCTGGCCCGATTTTGTTAATGTTTTGTTGCCTTCCTGTTTTTTACAAATCTACATGTTGTTAATGTGGGGATGGAGGGTTTTCGAGCTCCGCTCGTATGACGAAGCCTTACTAGGGGCGTAGCCAGAGGGCGGAAGAAAAAAAATTGGCTGCGCCCTGGCCGCTTTCACCCTCCACCCGGAAGCACGGAAACAAAACCCGCGGCCTGAAAATTTTTTTTTAGTTGAATCTTTTTAAACTGAATGAGTCGCTAAGAAGCTCTGTGTAAATTTTTGACAAAAGGTAGCCAGTTGACTGTTAATCTGCTCAGTAATGTTTTTTTGTTGTACGATAGCAGAAAGTATATCTGGGTCTATAGACTTCAAAAGCTCATGTTCATATTGATTAATGCTCGAAATAGGAATTTGATCTAAATAACCTTTGACAGCTGCATAAATAACCACTATTTGTTTTTCAATAGAAATTGGGCTATATTGTGGTTGTTTAAGAACCTCTGTTAGCCTAGCCCCACGATTTAATAAATACTGAGTAGCAGCATCAAGGTCTGAACCGAATTGAGCAAAAGCGGCTACTTCGCGATATTGCGCCAATTCTAGTTTTAAGCTACCACATACCTGTTTCATAGCTTTCAACTGAGCCGCAGAACCTCGAGAGTAGGGTTCGCGCCCATCTCTAGGCACTAGCACAGGCTATAGAACCCGGCTCCCTCTCAAAGAACCGCGCGCGATAGTCGCCTATCACACGGCTCCCTTCTCCTGAAACCTGTTACTTATAGACGAGAACAATCAAATCATCAATACTTTGCCCGTGTGTAGTTTTTTAGAATGTTAAGCACGCGAAGGGATTTGCTTCCTATTGAACGCCAATTCATTATCCCGTAACTGTGCTGCACCACTTCCTTCTTTAGCAGTCTTATAGCCTTTGCTCAAGTCTTATGGCGTGAGCTTGAAGAAAGGCCGCCTTGATGGCTGTTTGTAATATCTGGTCTCTGGCGCTGATCATCGTAAGCGGTCTTGTCTCCTCGGGTTTTGCCGATTTTGGGATGTTTACTTGTTTTGCGAGGTATTTCCCCGCGCGCAGTTGTTCTGCGATGTGCTCGAACCATCTCCGATTAACGCGGATAAGAAGTCGATTTCCTCCCTGGAAGATCTTCCATTCGTCAGTCATCCCCTCCTTTTTTACGAGTTTAGATTGAATGCATTGGTACGCCACTATGAGCGCATGTGGGCCAGTTATTATGTCGATGATTTTCCGATATTTCGCGTCGGCGTTAGGTTTCAGTTCCCGAATTCGATCGGCTGCAGGCAGCCCCAACTCGGGCAGGAGAAGCAGGACTTTCCTGATTCTCAGTTCTATCCATCGCCGAACCAACGAGGTTCCCCCTCGTAAGTTTTTGTGGTGGTTCCACTGGGACCGTACGAATCGCGGCCTTTCCTCATGAATAGGCCCGGATTCCCATCGGGAGTTCCCTCTAGGTATTTAACGATTTGTAGAGCCTTGGTTGACCCGTTCATCGCCGTGGAGTTCGTGTGTTTTCCGACGCAGGGTTCCCCTTTTCCTTCTCGTGTAGTAGAAGTACTCATGCTGCAGACGGCACATATCCCAAGTTCACGCAGGTAGAATCCTGGGTGTCTTCCCTCTGAGAGTAGGGCGACCATCATCGAGGTTTGTTTTCCTGAACTTCCGATAGTTAGTTTCTGACTTACCTGCTTTCGACCCAGTTATGATCGGGTAAGGCAGATTACGCGCTGAGGGATCCTACGCAGAGCTTTCCAACTCCAGCGATCCCATGTAGATCTCACCCCGCTCACACGACTTACAGATAATCCTACGTTAATAGCAGGTCGAATTCCACGATAAAAAAGTTCTGTTTCCAAAAAGATTTGTCCATCTGTAATGGAAATAACATTGGTAGGAATATAAGCAGATACATCTCCAGCTTGTGTTTCAATTACAGGTAATGCGGTCAAGCTACCTGCACCAGTCTGGTCTGACATTTTAGCGGCTCTTTCTAATAAACGAGAATGTAGATAGAAAACATCTCCTGGGAACGCCTCACGACCTGGTGGTCGACGTAATAATAATGACATTTGTCGATATGCCACTGATTGCTTCGAAAGGTCATCATAAATGATTAATGCGTGCATTCCATTATCTCGAAAATACTCTCCCATAGCGCAACCTGAATATGGTGCCAGGAATTGCAGAGGAGCAGGATCCGAAGCAGTAGCTGCTACAATAATGCAATATTCTAACGCACCCGCTTCTGAAAGAATCTTAACTAATTGTGCCACGGTTGAACGTTTCTGTCCAATCGCTACATACACACAATACAATTTTTCACTATCCGAGGTGCCCTGTGTGTTGATTTGCTTCTGGTTCAATATGGTATCAATAGCAATAGCTGTTTTTCCAGTTTGTCTGTCTCCTATTATAAGTTCTCGTTGACCACGACCTATAGGAACCAGGCTATCTACTGCTTTTAATCCTGTTTGCATCGGTTCGTGCACAGATTTACGTGCAATAATCCCGGGAGCTTTAACTTCTACACGCCTGCGTTCTGCAGCGCTTAAAGCACCTTTTCCATCAATAGGTACTCCTAAGGCATCAACCACACGACCTAACAAGCCCTTTCCTACAGGAACATCCACAATAGATCCAGTGCGCTTGACAATGTCTCCTTCTTTAATAGCAGTATCACTACCAAAGATAACAATTCCTACATTCTCATTTTCTAGATTCAAAGCCATTCCTTTCACACCGCTGGCAAATTCAACCATTTCTCCAGCTTGAATCTTGTTTAATCCATAAACACGTGCAATTCCATCTCCAACTGATACCACTCGACCGATCTCATCCACTTGCAATTTGGTGTAGTAATTGGTAATTCTTTGTTCTAATAATGTAGATAGTTCTGCTCCAGCCAACTTATTTCCAGTTAATTTGTTCATAAATTAATAAAACCTTCTACCAATAAATTAAATAATTCCACAATCTGAACCTTCAGATTGTGTCCAATTTATCATCTTAAATGATAGATTAAGACGGGAAGGGGGGGGGCATTCATTGGCCAAGCTCCTTCAAGCTAATAAAGCGTAAGAGGAAGAGAAAAGGCAAAGAGAAAGAATTTTGGGGCATTTCTATATTTTTTTTTCTTTTTTTCTTCCTTTTTTCTGTTAAGCCAATGAAGTAGCGGAGGCCCACTTTATTCTTTCGAATCCCCATCACCCGAGCGCGGCGTTTTCACAAAAGGTCAACACTCCCGCTGTTTCAAGATCGAAAAGACCGAGTTTGGTTCAAACAGGCAAAGCGGATTATTCAGCATGCCATAGAACTGAGCCGAGCATGCAATTACTACGAAATTGAATATTATCAAGATGGCTGTAAGCAAAAATTCTTTACTTTTTACTCGATTTGTCACTACGCGAACTTTGTTCCCAAGGACTAGCAAAATCAAAATAGCGAAATTCTTGAGTCATCTCAATAGGTTCAGAAACCACACGTTTCTCTGAATCATCATAACGTACTTCCACATATCCACTTAAAGGAAAGTCTTTTCGTAATGGATGACCCTCAAAACCATAATCTGTTAATATACGACGTAAATCAGGATGATTAGAAAAATAAACACCAAACATATCCCAAACTTCTCGCTCCCACCAGCCGGCTGACGGAAATATACTGACTGCCGAACAAATTGGAGTTATTTCGTCCACACTGGTTTGTACACGAATGCGTGAGTTATATTGAATACATAGAGTCAAGAATTCCATCGCAGAGCCGCAGTTTCCCTATGCACTCTCTCGATATAATAAAGTGCTCTCCGAACCGTGCGAGATAGTTACCCATCACACGGCTCTCTAACTCAAGTTCAGCTAAGGTTGTTCGTAATCGTATGGCTCTAAGCGTGGGCTTTCCCGGCCAAATAATATATTTTTTCCGTACATGGAGCCACCCCACCCGTGGCCTTGCATTATGGCAAAAACTAGCAGCATATATGGCTTCCGGAGGCGCTGCGCCCTCGTATTGCTTATCGTGGTAACTTTTGTAAGCGAATGAGTTATGCAATTCGAGTGGGCTTTCTTAGCCGCGGTGCCTAATTCGCATATGTTTTAGCCAATGAGATACGTAGTCTGTAGCTTAAGCGCGTTGCGCTATACATCGCTTTTTAGAGTTTGCCAGACGCTAATAATTGGCAGGGCAAGGTAGAATGGAGGTGTTGGCGCACAATTAGTAAAATCATCTGTGAAACGCGCGCTTGCGGATGGCCTAGACCGAGGTTTCCTACTGTTTCAATTATGGCTCTATGTATCGCAGTGTGGCCGAGGAAAGCTACATAAAAAAAAATTATTTGCTGCACGCTTCTAGCCTTTTTTGCTTCGAAACGGAATTCGAAGTGGATTACCTAGTCTCCCAGTGTTTATGGTACTTGGATCAAAGTGCCGCATATAGTAGTTTTGCACCATTCTTCAAACCTGGATTAGTGTCAATTATATCCATATATATACCCTTCATACCTACATCACATACATGCCTAATAGTAGCTACCGCGGTAATCAACAGATTGAGACCCTTTATGAGTCGAAAAAGGCTTTCTGGCTGGAACTGCTCTTTATGACAATGTTTCCAAAAAACATGCAGACGATCAGAATATGCCGAAGCAGCAAAAAAATATATATTTTTTTTAACTGCTTAGTTTCAGCCAAGCTCAATCTCGATCTCTTCATGCTGCTTGAGTACGCAAAGTACCCCCTGGCTAGCAGGGGATACGTCGATTTAGGCTCCTTCCCCTCCGTCATACAGTGCCAGCGCTTTCCTTTTGCGGGGTCCTTTTGAGTAGGCAGGTACTACGAGCCCTCTGTCCCACGCATCTCTATCTAGAAAAATGTATGGTTCACCGGTTCCACCGAATGCTCGTAATTAGATGCTCTTGGGCATCTTCGCGCAGTGCGCTTCAGGTGCTTTAGATACCCTCAAGTGCTGTGCCTTTGAAGCTTCGCCCTTTACTTCGATTTTCATGAGCATAGCCAAAAGAAAAAAATACTTTTTGGGATCTTGGTTCCTTTGTTGTCCTGGTACGATCGTCACTAAGCTCCGTCGTACGAAGAAGACGCTGTGATACTTCATTCGAGTCTTGCCTAATGCGCCCGGGCTAATATCCCACCTACACCTCACGTTCACGAATGAAAAAAAAGAAATAAATTTTTTTCCCGTTCAACTGCGTTTCGAAGACACGGTTGGGTATCGCCTATGGGTTGGCTATTCCCTGTGATCCCCTTTCACGACAGGCTATGTTCCCCATTGGAAGTTCGTTCCGTTGGGTGTCTCTAGCGGTATATCCGTCAAATAAGTCGTGCCCGTTTCGTTGCAGACTTCTACAACGTCTCATTCGTTTGGTACGAATGAGCACTTTATTCGGTTACTTCGCGGTCGCCCTTAGTAAATTATAAACTACTTCAAATCTTTGTTTTCGAGAAGGATAATCAACTCCACAAATATCAATCAAGACTTGAAAACGTGTATTGGTATGATATTTCAAAAACCATAATAATTGAAATAGGTAATCAGGATTGGTATATAATATATTTTCATGTTTTGATTTTTGAAATTGATGTATCCATTTTGGTAAAGTAGCTATCAGAGATTTGAAAAACGATTGGTTATCCACAAATCGTCTCTTTTTTTCTAGGAAGTAAACACATTAGAACATGAGTTAAAGGGCGAAGCATATTTTTTTAGTATTACAAAGGGTAAATCGTCTAAAAGCTGGGAGCTTTGCTGATCTTGGACACTTACTTTATTTATGTGATCTGGCAGAATTTACAAAGGCACAGGTTGCGCTTCTCAAGCCTTTACCTACTGCAGCCATTTAGAGAGCCACCTTTTCAATGACTTAATTAGCCGAGGACTCGCTCACGAAAGTCTCAGACCCGAAGTTAGAATCTTAGTATAGCTTACATTAAAAGGGCCGAAGGTCCTTTAACTCGCGGGGGCAGGGGATAGTGAGAAAATTATTGGCTGAATATAAAAATGCAAAATTGGGGCTGGGAGCCCCACAGTGAATACGTTGTGTAGCATTTAGTCTCTAGTGCAAATGGTAAAATGTTACAGAGTGCCCTGCTACGAATTCAACCGATTCGAGCTTGTAAACTTGGTAAACTTGATAAATCCGGAAAACATGAAGCAAAAAAAAAATATATATTTTTTATAAGCTGAAAAAACAGCCGCGGGATCCGTGAACTCTAAAGGGATTAAAGCCATCCACCAAGTTTACAAGCTCTAACCGATTCGTTATCAAGTAAGGCTCTCAACCAATAGCAGGAGATTCGCGCCATGCTACTGCTAACTCATCCTGGCTGTCATTATGTTGGGCTGGGCAGGACCGGTCGCCCGGGCATTGCCGTACTTATTAAGCTTCGAGACGCCTCTCTGACTTTATTTGGCTATAGGCCGTCATTGCTGTAGAAGCTATAAAAGCCTCAATGACTGGGGTTCTAATACCAGAAACAACTTTTGCCGCCGACGTGCCAACACCATAATATATAATGATAATTTCTCCGGAAGACTTAACGAAGTCAATTAACTTTTGCAATGTGGTAAATCATCAAATTTAACAGTAGACGACAACTGTTTGGATGATTACGCGTTTGCTATAATAAGACCAGCGGAACCAAAAAAACTATTAGATATGCCCGGTATAAAAATTCCCAGTATAATAAATCTGCGCATAAAAGTAGCTAATTGATCCCTTCTAGGCATAGACGTTTTTTGCGCCGTAGCTGGATCTGGTGTGGAATCGGCAAAATCTCAGCAGATTCATAAAGAGATAGACGACACAAAAGCAATGGAAGAGAAAAGACGGCGGCACGCCTGGGCCATAATACCCTCTTCTACTACAACTTATTTAGCTAGGGCGTAAGCTCCAATAAATTTGGTACAAACAAAGATGCCGCAGCGCAAAGCCTCTCCTTTTATCCTAATCTGTTTGTCAAAATCTCTTGTGAACTATGGGTAGATAAACTTCGGCGAAGTCTCATAGGTCAAGAATTCCGGACAGAAACTTCGTTTGATCCGGAATTCTTGACCTATGAGACTCCTGGAATACCCGCTGTAATTGCTAGAGCAATCCCGGCAAGGATACTTGTCCAAATCCTCTAGAATTTTTTTTTTTCCAATCTTCACAAGGTGCAATGATGGGTTTGAAAAGTGGCGCAATTGAAAGCACACCACTAATTAATGAAGGAATAATAGGTAAAACCCGGATACGGGGATTTGGTAATAAGACGGTTAATAAATTGATGGCTTTTCATTTCACAACATAAATTGAATTCTTAAAAATGTGGGAAAGCTTGCGAGGACTTAAGTCCTCGCAAACATTAGAATTTTGGATTAATCTAGCTTCTAATTCGCCGAGAATGGGCGTAATAGCAAAATAGAAGAAAAAACCAACTGAAGCAATTTGTCCAATAGTAACATATGGTGCTTCCACAGGTTGACATCCAATCCAGCCTAAAAGTAAGCAATCTGCCAAAAGCAACCAAAATAATTTTTGGTGAATCGGTCGAAAACTTGAACTACGTACATACGATGTGTTAATGAACGGTAAAGCAAATAATGACACAAAAACTAGTCCTATGGCAGCTACACCCCCTAATTTGTTAGGTATACTTCGAAGAATCGCATAAACTGGTAAGAAATACCATTCTGGCACTATATGAGCCGGAGTTGACATAGGATTCGCGGGTATGTAGTTGTCGGGATGCCCCAGAACATTAGGTGCATAAAAAATAAAAATAGAAAAAAAAATGGCAAAAGCTACCCAACATACTAAATCTTTTACGTACATATAGGGATAAAAAGCTATTTTATCCACAGAAGAATTGATACCCAATGGATTATTAGAGCCATATTGATGCAATGCAGCAAGATGAATAATAACCGCGGCAGATATTATAAAAGGAAGTAAGTAATGAAGGCTAAAAAAACGATTTAAGGTAGCATTATCTACCGAGAAACCACCCCAAAGCCAAGTTACTATAGTGTCTCCTACCACAGGTATTGCACTAGCCAAGCTTGTAATGACTGTAGCTCCCCAAAAACTCATTTGCCTAAATTCCCCCAAACCATGTCTTTTCTACATCCTTTTTAGACTTTCTAGATGAATGATGTCAGGCTCCACCGGTTTTTTTCATTTCAGCATTTCACTCAAAATATCGAGCAGCGATTTCAATTATTTTTTACTAGAATTAGCCCTGCTATGAAATTTTTTCTGCAGTATTTTGGTAAAACTATTTGTATGAATAAGGCCCGCGCGCTCTTTGGCCTCATCATTCATAAGCCAATAGGCTAGTGCTCCAAGAGTCGAATAGTCCAGAATTTTCTTAGAAACTATCTTAACTGCCCCAAAAGAAAGAAAACAGGAACCAATTCAAACTAGCCGAGGTTTTGATTTGAAATCTTAGATACTGGCGGGCCTTCGGCCTTACTATTATTCGTCAAATTGGGTGTTACTTAAATATCCCCGGAGCAAGAACTTAAAGTAAACCCTATTAAAAGAAAATATCCCGGGTCTGTTATGGCAAAAGGTTAAAAAGCTGCTTAAGTAAAGCTTATAAATAAAACCTTAATATACGGCTTAAATAGACCATAAGACTCCAATAGGCTGGAGGCCCTTTATTTATTCATTCATTAGAGTGAAATAGACATGATTTTTTAGAAAGAAATGGGACTATATATTTACCTAGCCGAAGATCACTGATAGACTAGGCACCCCACGTGTAGTCTCTGAGGAAATCTCTATGCTATTTTTTCCAAGGCCGAAGACGCCTATTCTCGTGTAGCAAGAGTTTTCCTGCGGATTGTCTATGATGCCATGCTAAGGATTTTTACTTAGAATTTAAACCCACGCAAGACAGACAGCAACGCTAAATTTATAGGGATCGCCACCAAAAATCGTCCATTTCGCGCCTTACATGGGAAAAAAGTACCTTAGTAATAAAGAGTTTCCCGCATTTAGTGGGGTTTTTTTATCCTTCTATTAGTAGAAGGAGGGGCCAAATTGACCCCACGGTAGTACGTATCCTATAAAAGCTGTTATAATCATTAAAAGTAAAATGACAACTCCAAGACACCAAACTAATTCCCTAGGACTCGAATAACTTCCATAATATAGACCACGAAAAATATGAAGATAAACCACAATAAAAAACATACTTGCCCCATTAGCATGCATATAACGAAGCAACCAGCCGCCTTTCACATCTCTCATGATGTGTTCTACGCTTAAGAAAGCTAAATCCACATGAGGCGTATAATGCATAGCTAAAAAAACGCCTGTAATTATCTGAATGAACAAGCAAAGACCAGCCAACGAACCAAAACTCCACCAATAACTTATATTGCTCGGGGTTGGATAATCTATCAAATGATTGTTAAATGTAGAAAATATAGGTTGTTTAAGAATCGATAGTCGTCTTGCCATATTAATGTTTCGTGCTTTCTCGTTTTCGCGGATCATGGAAACTTTGTGTTCTTCATGATTAACGCAATCCATCATGGGCAGGATTTACCCATCATTACAAGGCCTTAGATAAAAAAAAAATATATATATATATATATATATATTTTATTCGTTTTAGAACGCTCAAAGCCTGCATTTACGGAGTTAATAGAACGAATAAAATATATTATTTTCTATTTCTTCTAATCAATTCATTTGGTTTTCGAGCTGCTATTTAACGGAGTTTTTTTTCATTAAAAATATATATTTTTTAGTTGCACTGCAGTGAAATTGTTCCATGAATTAAGGGAGCCAGTCAAAGGCTACTAGAACACCAGATACAAAAACTACCCAAGCTAATGATAAAGGTAAGAATACTTTCCAACCAAGCCTCATTAATTGGTCATAACGATATCGTGGAAATGCCGCACGGACCCATATATATACAAACAGAAAGAAAAGAACCTTGATACTAAACCAAATAGAACCCGGAATCACATGGAAAATAGGAATATCTAGGATGGGCAGCCAACCTCCTAGAAAGAGCAATGTACATAGACTAGGAGAGTAAGGGTGCAGCTTCGTGGCCCCTGGGGGCCTGAGAATAATAGAGATTCACACCCTTCTCAAAGAACCGTACGTGACACTCTCGCGTCATACGGCTCCGTTCTGGAAATCTGGAGTCTCATCCCCTCTAACCAGAGCTACGCCTAGGTTTCCGAATCACGAAGGCCTGGCATGGATGTTTGAGTGTGGATGATCGGCACAGAGCGGAAAAAGTTTATTTTCCGTCAGGTTTTAAGCTGCTTGGTTTAGACTGGATTCGCTACGCGAGTAGTAGTCTATTGTCCGCATATGGGTGCTGCGCTTTGCGCCCTAGTGACTTAGGCTCGCGTAGCCCGACTTTCAGACTAATGTCTACCACCGCCGCTGAGTTCTATCTCCCAGAACCAGAATGAGTATCCCTGTTCAATGGGTTTACATTCATCCCCGGATATGGGGTACCGTTTCCTTCCCCCGCCACCCTTGTAGCTGTCACCTGTAATTCGCGCAAGTGTGTCTGCACCCCCTGGATGAGACGAGAAGTTTTTTCTCGCAGCAACCCTCCCCGGTTCCAGACCTAGGAGCGCACTTTCCCGTATGAGCATTCGGTACACGTATAGGTCTGGGGAAAAGTTACGAGGTACCCACTTAGGGTATCTCCCTAGTCTTAGATAGGTCATCCGATGGGTTCGCGTTTCGTTGTTGTGCTGACACACCAGGCTACCCTTCTCCGAAAGCTTCGCGGGCCTACTAGTCTTCAGATCGCTCAGAAGGGTTTACTGCACAAGGCCCTTAAAAGGACACTGGCTCCTGCAGAGGGCCGCAGCCCAACGAATGTCAGATGCAAAGCTCCACACCTCATTAAGATCATATTAGCATATTCCCCTAAAAAAAAAAGAGCAAAACCCATCGAAGAATATTCTACATTATAGCCCGCGACTAATTCAGCTTCTGCTTCTGGTAAATCAAAAGGAGCTCGATTAGTTTCTGCTAAACAAGAAATAAAGAACATAATAAATACAGGAAACAAGGGAATGCCAAACCATATCTGCTTTTGCGCGATTACAATCTCACTAAAATTACAAGAGCCTACACAAATTAGTACAGTAATAATAATAAGACCGATAGAAACTTCATAAGAAACCATTTGAGCTGCAGATCGTAATGCTCCTAAAAAAGCATATTTAGAATTACTGGACCAGCCCGCTGTAATAATACCATAAACGCCTAGAGAAGATATAGCAAATAGATAAAGTATACCTACATTTAAATCTGACAATACCATACCATAATCAAAAGTAGGGGTCGGAGATTTCCCCGCCCTCCGAACCATACGTGACAGTTTCCCGTCATAAAGCTCTCCGCCACTGATTTACTAAAGCATGTCAACAAAAATATATATATATATTGACGCGCTTCACGAGGTACTTATTGAATGAGATCGTAGCAGCATTTGAATGTCTGCTATGACCAACCCGTCTTCTCAGAAGAGTTGAAGCGTCGCCGCCTTCACCACATCTGTGGCAAGGAAAGGGCTGCACCCTCTACCATCGAATCATGACTGCCGCCCTTCAGTGCGTACCTAGCTTGGTCGATTTCCCTATCCACTTACTACAGCGGCTCCGCCGACCCTCTCGCTAGAGAGTAGGTCGATCCCGTGATTGCGTCTTCGACTTTTTTCACCTGTTTGTTGAGGTAAGATGTCCGCATAGTATTATTCCCTTACTGAGAATGCCCCCGAAAAAAAAAATCTTTTTTTCCGTCTTCGGCCTCCGTTATACCTACCAAAAGAACCGATTACGGGACCAAGTCCTTACCCGCTGGCTTGGTGAATGCTGTCGTTCAGCAGCTACGTAATTCGGATTCGTCAGCCTCATCAACCCCAACAGTATCTCCCGAGTCATCCTTTGAAGGGTCTCCTGTGACTTGGTTTCCCAGATGCTTTTCCACGCGCATTGCGGCAACGCTACCTCTGGGTGATTTACTCCATTGACGCAGACTGGAGATCGGGCACCAGGATATGCCCCATAGCGACGAAAGCACCTTGCACGGCGCGCGGTATAACAGCCCAAGCAACCAAACTTAACATAAATGTAATTACTGGAGCCATTATAAAAATAAATAAATTAGCACTACTTGGTAAAATAGGTTCTTTTATCATTAATTTCAAACCATCTGCTAAAGGTTGTAACAATCCAAACAATCCCACTACATTAGGACCCTTTCTACGTTGCATAGAAGCCATTACTTTACGTTCAGCTAGAACTAAGAAGGCTACTCCTAGTAAAAGGGGTATTATTATTCCAAGTATTTTCGCTAAAATACCAATGATATACAGTCTCATTTTGTTGGCTTTTTTTTCTATCTCATTTCATACAAAAAGCTACAAAAAAAATATATATATATATATTTTTTTTTTACAATAGCTTTGGAAAAACATGGGTTGTGGACCGCAGGCTAACGGGATAAGGCGGATGATTGAAAGTTAAACCGCTTAAAGTAGCCTGAATGAATGATAGCCCCCAAATAAAGTTGTGAAATGTCATAAGAATTATGGACATGACACCTTAATTGGCTATGGCCAGAAAACAGACACCTACCCGCGGAGCTATATATATCTTTTTTTTGCCGCGGGTTTACGGCTCCTTGCCCTTAGGCATTGACAAAACACTCGCGCGAGAAGAATGTATTAATTTCTATTTTTCTTAGTCTAATCGGAGAACCGACTAAAAAGCCTTTGAAAAGCTTTGATTCAATTCGGGGCTGATCCAACAAGCTCGTAAAATGAACTAGGCCGCGGAGCATAGTATATTTTTCTACTGATTAGCGAAACAAAGAAAAAATATATATATATATATATTTTCTTTTTTTGTTTGCAAAACCAACCAAGTGCTATGCACCTTTCCAAAATACATACATATAAGCATTTCCTATAATTAATGAAGTAGTTTTGTTGTTTAGTGCATCTAGCCCATCTATTTTAATATGTATGTAAACTTTGTTTTACGAACGAGGCGGTCGAGACCAAACAAACGAAAAAGGAGGGGGGGGGGCGCGCGGGTTCTCACATAAGCCGCGCACCCCCGCATAATGGACGAAGAAGACCGCGGAGCTATATTTATTATTCGGTTCCCACAAAAATGTTACTGGTCTACCATCAGCACGAGGCCTCTCCAAAGCGCTGCGTAAGCAACACCCTAAGCAAACCGGCCTAGGGCAAGCACGCGCGTGCCGCGCGGCGTTGGTCAACCACCTTCTTCGCTTTTCTTATGCAAATCTAACGGTTGCTCTTAAGCAGCTACGGTTTTACCCATTCGACTGCTGTTGGAAAAAAGGCAGGTTGCATATTACGTGATAGGGCATAGCAAACATATTCTTTTTTCAGCGGCAAGGTCGGGACGCCTTTTATGCCCTCTGAATTGACATCATAATGCCCTTATAGACCTCAAGCTTCCTCTTAGAGTAATAATTAAGTTATTGATCACTTTTGAGTCTATCAAAATATTTGCCTCGTGACATCAACGGTATACGGATACCTTCCTTCCAAAAGTACTAGGATCCATATTAGAATCGCTAGAATTAATCACGAATACCACCATCATTACAAGCTCAGTTCTTAAAAAAAAAAGCAAACTAAATTAAGTTCTATCTTTAAATAAAGTATGATTAGGTTGGTAAAAAAACTGTTTCAGAGTTTTTCTCCTTTTTTTAATTACCTCCCCACCAATAAATAGATACAAATAGGAATAACCAAACCACGTCAACAAAATGCCGGTACCAAGCAGCTGCTTCAAAGCCAAAGTGATGCGTTTGGGTAAAATGCCCTAGATATTGACGAATAGCGCATATTATTAGGAAAATGGTACCTATAATGACATGAAAACCATGAAACCCAGTGGCTAAGAAAAAGGTAGAACCATAAATACCATCGGAAATCGTGAAGGGTGCTTCTACATATTCCATTCCTTGAAACCCGGTGAAGACTAGAGCTAGCAAAATGGTAGAGTCAAAAGTTACTTCATAGAGCCGTACAACTTGGTCGCCGTTTACTCGTCTGACATAATAAAGTGCTCTCCGAACCGTGCGAGATAGTTACCTATCACACGGCTCACCAACCTGATTTTTTCGTCTGTTTGGCACATAGTCCTTTATAAAGGCTTAGGCTTAATTCTATTCAGACATGAAGTCAGATTTCCCGTGTCAATCAGGTAACGTCCATAAATGAAAATCATTTCTGTACAGTGATTTAGACTCCTTCTCGCTTTGCCCTTAAACGAATAAGATCGAGTCAAGTGCTTTACTGTTGTCAGCTCTCTTTCGAGTAGGCGGATACTACGAGTCCTCCGTCCCAGATAGCCGGATCATGGCTATCTAGTTCACCGGTACTACCAAGGTACTCTTATACTTACATGAAAACACATAAGATTTCCAACTAATAGCGCTAGTTCGAACAGAAAAGCAGCCGTGCTTCCAGTGTTTTTGTTTCATATTGAAATTGGGACCTCCTCCTGCTCTGCCACAGGCAGGCTACCATTCTGCCATGGAGGAGATAGCGCTGTAATATTATTGATTGATCAATAACCTGACCGAACACGCTTGAGTTAGTGTCTCATAAACACCTCACATTCATGAATGACCCATTCGGCTATATTTCCAAGACACGGTCGGAAAAGTTCTCTAGGGTTGGTCAACCCTGTCCTTTCCTTTTGCAACATGCTATTGTCCCGCTTGGTTTAAATGGTAAGTTGCATCCGTCTCATTGCGAGCATCAGCAATGGTATGATTACGAGAGGTAATCAAAAAGTTTCCTTGGTAATCTAACGGTCGCCTGGTAGCTACTAAAGCATAAACAGCTTGTTTTTTGAATCCAGCTAATATAGCATGATGAGCCCAAGTCACGGCAGCTCCAGATGAAAGTAGAATAAGGGTATTTAGAAAAGGAATTCCCCAAGGATTTAACACATCAATTCCTTTAGGGGGCCAAATAGCTCCAATTTCTACCGTAGGTGCCAAAGAAGAATGAAAAAAAGCCCAAAAGAAAGCTAAAAAAAACATGACTTCAGACACGATGAACAAAATCATACCATAGCGAAGTCCTAATTGGACCACAAATGTATGATGTCCTTCGTAAGTGGATTCACGTATAACATCGCGCCACCATACAAACATAGTATATAGGATCATTCCCAAGCCTAAGCTAAGAAGTGTTCCACCTCCCGTAAAAGAGTGCATGTACATAACACCACCAATGGTGCTTGCCAAAGCTCCCAATGAACCCAAAAGAGGCCATGGACTTGGATCTACTAAATGATAAGGATGCTTTTGAGAGACACTCATAATTCGTCCTGTGTTTGCTTTTTAGTCTAATTTATTTGATACCCAAGAAACATAATCATCCAAAGAAACAGCTTCTACAACAATGGATAGGGGTCAGGAAAAGCCCCTGCCCTCCGAACAGTATGGGAGCCTTTCAGCTCGTACTGCTCACCTTCCTAGATCTTAACCTTGGACCTTAGGTAACCTTCTCCACAATAGTTAGAGTTCTCAGTATCTTCATCTGCGCCGCAGCCCACAAGTCACTGTTGGCGGCGTCGTGGTATTTGTTGTCCACACAGCAGTTTCATACCTACACTGGTCATAGGTAACATTTCCCGAGCGAATTTTAGCTCTCACGTCTCTCACCTCTATGCATATCTCCCCGATTAGATCTACAAATAGTACACAATCGAAATAACCCCGAGCGGGTCGGTCAACTTTGGCGCCCCAGCTCGCATCTACAATCTTACACGGGAGCGCTAATTGCTCAGACTTAAAAACGTTTATGGCCTTGGGCCCTTAGCGGGCCCGGGCCCGCGTGTAATTGGTTGGCCTCCTCTGTGGGGCCGAAATGCGCGCGGGCGACCAAATAAAATAGGCAAAAAATATGACCTCCAGCATTAGCCGGAGGTTTTTTTACACGATGCTGCTGCCCTCGTTCCGATCTCGCGTGGCTTGGGTATTTCCGGTGGTTTGAAAAATAACTAACTTTTGCTCGGCTTATTTACTAAATGGGCTGGGTTTTTTTTATTCAGAGTATTCCTTCCAGATCTCGGTGTCATTTTTTTGTGCTTTCTTTAAATAGCCTCGTACCAGACAAAGGATCGCTCAATATCCGGGTGAATCCGTAGTATCTGCCGTGTTTGCTTTTTTTTGTAGATCTTTACCTATATGGTGTCAAGAGACGAACAAGATCTGTCCAGTTTAACTTGAGCGTAAACTAGCGTATAGACTTGTTGAGAGCTTCTGTTGTCTTAGTAAAGGAAAAGTATGATCTTGGATTGGCCCCCTTCGCATGACCTGAACAGGCCTGTAATACTATGAGGCCTCTGAACTCCCTCACGACACTGTCATGGGGATGCTTAGCCCCGACTTCCATAGGTCCGAATTAGGTTTTACCTCCTAGTGAGAATTTAGGTCCTTGCGCGGGCGTCTGATCTCTCGGACTTGCTCTTTATGGAGTGCCCTGTGGTTCCTCGAGTGCCGCAGAAGCTAATGCCATCAACTGCGGGTTTGACACTATTGGTCTACTAACCACTCGCTCGCCGCTATATCCTGCTTGGGACGTTCGGTCCAGCTTAAGACGGGCTCCGCGTTTCAAGCTCGTTATCCTAACCATATCCTCTGCTTTACCGGGGAGCCCTAATGGGGGCAGGCCCATCGATCCCCGGCTTTTCCCTACTGCTCTAGCCATGATATTGCTATGATAGCTTTTTTGGGTAGCTCGCACCCAGGTTTGCCCTGTTCGAGAAAGTGCGACTGAGCCAGAGTGGGCTCAGCAGTCGGCCTATTTATTCGGGCGCACGCATAAACGCATGATTAGTTCCACAAAGTTCACTGCACTGACCATAGTAAACTCCTTCTCGTTTAATAAAAATGGAAGTCTGATTTAAACGACCAGGTACAGCATCACATTTTACACCTAAGGAGGGTACGGCCCAGCTATGAAGTACATCAGCAGATGTTATAATCATACGTAGATGAGTTTTTGCTGGTACCACTACTCGATTGTCTACTTCTAATAAGCGTAATTGACCCAATTCTAAGTCATCTTCTGGAATCATATAACTATCAAAAGTTAGTGACTGTTCATCAGAACTGTTATAGTCTGAATACTCATAAGGTTGGGTCGACGGCCAGTCCTTGGTCCCAAGGGCCCATACGCCTCCCACCAAACTGTACTTGCAAGTTTCCCCGCAGACAGCTCTCCACGCCCATTAAAACTCGGAGAGTAGAATGTCTAGTTCTTTCCCACCCGGGGATAAAACGTAATATACTCTCTACAGTGGATCTTCAGGTGGCGTTATCAGGGCGCAGCCTTCTTGTTTTATTAAGCTATGATCTTAGTGAAACCTTTCAAGGTCAAAACTTTGGCCTTTTTGTTGATATGTCTGTAATCATGTGCTTCCGCAATTTCAGTAGTTTTACAAGCAAAACACAGATCATATAGAAAAAAAGTATGGGACCTTACTGCATAGTTAACCACATAAAACGAATCCAAATCCTTTGTTCAATAAGTGCAACGTTCGGGGGTGATAGCCCAAGTTGTAGGAATAACCCAGTGAACCCATGGTTTATTTATTAATCCCGGGGCCTTATGTCCTTGCTCATTGTTTTCTAGCAATAGGCTTTCCGTTTACTTCTTGTTCCGCAGCACCTATTGATGTTCCAAAAAACTTACCGCTTGCTTGGAACTGAAAGGATCTGTCCTTCATTTTCTCGATGATGATAAGACGGGTCACGCCCTGAATCGTCGAGAGCGGACTCGCCGACTCCTGGAGTAATGTTCCCAAATTTTCATTTGATCTTGCGATATGCAGTTTTGTAACTCTTTATTAGGTTAAATAGACTAAAATATTAACATTTCCACCGTAAGTAAATCCTCTGTGACCCTTGAGTTTTCGCCGAAATTGCCCGACGTCCCTTGCGAGCGGCCGAGACTCCGGTACAGTATAAGCGCTGGTCCCCTTCGGTAAAGTTCTTGTTCTTGATGTTACCTACTGGAGGACCTCCGTCCCCAAAGAAGAAGAGCAAGCCTCAGAGAGGCTCGTTCTTCTTCTTCCGGCAGTTTTGTCACTACCGTGGTTGTTGCCAACGTTAGGGGATCCCCTATTCCAAAAAATGACGGGGCCGGGCCTGTTAGATTCGAAGTCGTATGCCACTGGCTGTGGTGCTGATAGATTCAATACTTCAGCGCTGTTATTGGACATTGCAGGCTGAGCAGTCTATTTCTCGTATATTGCCTACACCGAGAAGAGGAATGTGTACCTCCAGCGACTTAAAGAATGGAACCATAGGCCTATTAGCTGGGGGAGCCTTTTCAGTCTATAGGTTTAACCTCAACTCCCCGTTTCTGGCATGCTCTAGTCCCTTGAGTCTTTCAACGTCAAACAAAGAATGATTTTGGCTCATCTTTCTTTTGGTAAGCCAGAAGCTTCGCAGACCATAGAACCAGTCCGGTGCATTTCGTTGCACTTCCATCATTCTCGTGAAAGGGCGCACTCCAATACCGTTGATGTCCAATAGCTTTGATAGTAATTGTTGGATCTACTACCTCGTCCATTGAATATAATAAAGCAAAAGATGGTATAGCAATAAACATCAGAATAATACTAGGAAAAATGGTCCAAATAATCTCTATAGTAGTTCCATGAACAACCCTTTCCGGAATTGGATTTCTTTTATAATGAAAATGCCATAAAGCGCGAACCAACATCCATAATACAAAGATCAAAATAATTATTAGGAAGAAAAAAATATCATGATGTAAGATAGGGGTCAGCACTCGGTGTCTGCCCTCAGAACCATACGTGACAGTTTTCCGTCATAAAGCTCGCTACCTCAAACCTCGGCCTGAGGAGGGGCGAAGAAGCATGCTTTGCGCCCTTCTCCAAAACAAAATATGAAACGTAACGGCGCTACGCGCACCTTTCTTTGTTCGCAAAGCGAACAAAGTGGGCATGTGTTAAACAGTCAAGTCAGTCAGCTGGGAAGCTTGCACAGAAGCAAGCAAAAAAAGAATATATATATATATTCTTTTTTCTCACTTGATTCCACAAACTATTGCGCAGTGGCATCATCGAGGCTATAAACTGATTGCTTCGTAACACGTAGCTAAGATGATGATATCGTCGAGCGCGTAACAGTCCATTGTATGCTTCATCCTTGCATTTACAGGCTTTCACTCGCTCTTTAACTGAGATAGGGACACGGGAAAATAGATATATTTTTTTTTTTGCAAAGCCCCTTCCTTATGTACCTCAGAGAGGATACGAAACGGTCTTAGGTTGATCCCCTTAATAGCTAAAAGTATGCATTCTTACTACGGGATCTCTGAATTCTCCCCGTACAGGGAGTTAGTTCCCCAGCTTCCACCATCACGGATTTTAAAGGGTTAGATCCTTGCGTGAATGCCTGATTTCTCGGGCTATTCCTGTATAGAGTGCCACGTGGGGACTCAAGTCCCGTGTTCGCAATTGATATCGAGCGCGAGTTCGGCCGTTTTGCAGGCTTACTATCCACGCGTATGCCTTGATATTCTGCTTCAGACATACGGCCCGGAATTGGATGGACTAGATTCACGTATCAAGTTTGTTACCCTGATCTTTCCTTATGCTTTGTCGAAGCATCCTAGTGAGGGCAGTCTCAATGTTCTGCGAGTTTCACATGATGCTTTCGGGGCAATCTTATTGCTAAGGATGCCCCACCTGTGTAGCTCACATCCTGGCGATAGCCAGCTTGAGCGGATGTGGCAGAGTTGGAGCAGAGCTCTGCAACCGTGATGATATATCTAGGCGCACTCAATTATTCCTTGCATCATAGGTGTTGCTGCGTCTTGAAATCCTAATTGCCAAGGTTCCGCAGCGTCACAATAAGCAATTGGAAATAGCCATGTATTTTTCAAACTCATTTGGTATATTCTTGTTTTTTTTCAGAACTACTTCAGCCCTTCAACAGGCCCCACAAAGGGCCAACCAACAAAAAAATATATTTTTTTGTTAGACGCCCATTAGGATAGGCAAATCCGCGGGAATAATCCCATAAGAACCCAGAAAATAAAAAGATCTAAGATTAAACCCACCCCGTAGGTAATAGTTTCGCATCATACAACTCTACGTTCAAATTAATAGGACTTAAATCCTAAGAAAGATATACTTGCTAAACTCGATAAATAAAAGAGCCTAAGTTCCCAATGGCTCTTCAAGAAACAAAAATATCTTCATATCTTATAAAAACGAAGGAGTTTGCGTTTGGGACAGGGTACTTAATAGATAATTTAGGTGGTAATTTTTTTTTAGGTGCCTGTTGAAGGTCTGCCTATGATACTTGTGGCGTTTTTCCCACGGTCACTTGTCCCGCATACTGATCTCGAATCTTGTCGCGCAAAGACCCTTAGCTTGCAGCTTGTTGTATTTAGCTTCTACTACAGGCTGAACAGCATCATCTAGACGTGGCTGTTCATTCTTCATCAGTACTTCTTTTTTTACTACCCAACCAACAAGCATTAATTTCTTTCATTTAACGCTCTTCGGCCTCTTTTAAAAGCTGATCCGTGTTTTTAGCTTTATCATTACGTACCTGATAATCGAACTTTAGCTTTTCCAATTTTAGGTCTTTTTCTCACAATTCTAATGCATTCGCTTTATTTAAATTGTGTACGTACAACCGAGTACCCCGCCGCAGTAAAAGCGCCTATGGCATTACCAGCTATCTTAACAGCCTTTACAGGTTTTCGTTTCGCCAAAATGACAGAGAATTCTGAAAACTTTGTGTGGTTGTTTTATGTAATTTTATTTAAACAACCTTTAAAATAGAAAATATTTTAAACTTTAAACCTAAGATTCCGCGCTAAATAAAGATAATAAGATTAGTTTTATTTTTTCATCTATGCGTAACACTTTCCTAAGCTCTAAACGTTGAGGGTACTGAAATCCCAGATTATTACCTATTAAGTTTACTTTTATTCGTAGGGCTTTTATAGTCTACCTTACCCTCATAAAAAGCCAAAGTATTACCATCATGAGAATAAACTATTTATTATAGACGGTGGGGTCTGAGTTCCATCGCAAGGCCGCTTGATAGGATTGAGGATAGAAGGCGTAAACCGAAGCAAATGCGTTTTACGGGTGGCCAATAGACCGCGCCAACAACTCCCTTTATATTCTATTATATAAAGTGTCGGCTACGTTCTGAAGGTCTAAGATTCTAGTCGTCTATTGGAGTGTACTCACGACTTACAAGGCTTTTTCATATTTTCCTTTGTAGTTTGCCAATTCCTTGAATTCATTCATTAGTAACCCACGCTTTTCCATTCAGACTCAAGGATTCCCTAACAGCATTGTTGTCTCCTCCTGAGTTGCTATTTGAACCAATGGTTTAGGAGTTCTCAAAACCTCTTTTAACAAATTATTATTTTAAATATTTATTTCCGCCGAATACGGAAGGGTTTTTCAGGGAAACAAAACCGGATCCTAATATAAACCATGCTAGGTCCACATCAAAATTGGTATCCTCCCCCCCTCTCCCTTCTATTAGAAAATAGAACCTACTTCAATTCAGTAAATTGATCTTATTGCTCGTTTAACAACCAAGTTAAATGAATCTTTCTAATAATAGGTATAACGCCAACGCAGCTTACTTTTTGGCGATTTAACTCTTTAAGCTGGATTCGAAGGGCCCAACAATAGAGTAAGCTTTTTGGAATAATTATAGGTCATTATGCAGGGCAGAGAAAGCTTCAGTAATCACGCGACATACTTGATGAAAGCAAGTCATATATCATAAATTACCCTCAACCATCGCAGTTATTGAGTCAAACTTAAGCTTTCAAAATGCTCCCCCTCAAAGTGCTTGCAAGATTTTCAAGCACGTGGCTCTTGCTCGGTATTCAAACTAGCATAATTGAACAACTATGATGGCATAAACAAAAAAAAATATTTTTTTTTATGAAGACCCAGTTCATACCATAACTGTATAATGGTGAAAAAACTGATTGTTTCACTTCCAATTCATTGTACTATGGAAACTCTGATGCCATTGCTGAGGATTTTAACACTGAGAGCACCAGACCGCATAGTGCGGCATATATATATTTATTTATTTTGCCAAGCCGCCCCGCTTCAGGCCCAAATTTAGCCACCTTTTTTCCAGAGCTCATTATCGAATAAGAATCAAAAAAAAAAATAGCTGTTTCTTTAAGCTTAATTCTCCCTCTGCGAGCCCTCTCTCTTCTCTCTCCTGGGCCGGGCCTTCCTCACTGGCGGATCACCCTCTGCCTTCGGCCCTTCGGCCCTAGGTTCCTCTTGCAGCCTCTTTAAGGCTTCGCAATGGAGGCCTTCGGCCCTACACTAAACACGATGCATCATGCATTTCTCATTTCATGCATTATGAGTGCTGAATCTGTTCTACATGGTCTTCGACCCCAACATGTGGTAGGTGCCTGTAAAGAGCCTACAAAGGCTTAAACGACACATTTTAGATGGTTTGACAGCTGACGCTGTCCTTTAAGTAATGATTCAAAGTAGGAGATTATGCAACTTGTTGATTATTCATATAATGGAAAAAGCACGAAGAATTGCTGAAAGCATCTAAGCGGGAATCCTTCCCTAGATTGACTTTGATTCAGTTCTGCAATAACATAGTAATTAGATGCTACGCCATGAAGTAGACCCATGGTTCAGGATTAAAAGCTAGGCGTGCCTTGAAACACATTAAAAATTTACATGCTTTATGCTCGATAGCTTGACCATGCTGTACGTACATAGATAGGAGCTAAAAAAACCCGAATGAATTGCGTTTAACCATAAGATTTATCCATATGAGGCCTAACTTAGACATAATCTATTGTAGTATGCTGCGTTTTCTAAATTTGTTTCCAAATAAAGGTAAGGTAGTCGTTTAGACATGCTCTGAACAATGCCATAGTAAAAAGCTAAATCCTTTATCAATCAATATATTCAGCGCACTTAACAGTCATTTGCGCTAACCGCGGAACTCCTAGAAAAAGAACACAAAAAAAATATTTGGCTGCGCTTCGCGCCTTTGGCCATAGAGGCAAAAGTTGCAGTAAAGGGGTTTGGATTGAATAGAAAAGATAAATGCATCAAGGGCAATGCAGTAACTTGGAAAAGAAAACGAGCCGTCATGCCACCACCTTTATTTCTATTTGCTGCTCCGCCCCACGCCTTTTGACGGTTGCAGCACGCAGCAATTTATTTTACAAAATAGAAAATTTGTTTCCTTTTCGATTTTTCGACCACTAAAATGGAAAGTAGGACTTAAGTCGTCCGCCCCGGCATACGTCAAAAAAATCTAGATTTTTTATTTACCTTTTCTTCTCTTCGCCCTACATTTATTATTGGCTTTACGAAGGACTTTAGTCCCGGAAAACGTTAGCTTTCCGGGGGTTTACCCGCTTTCTTTGCTTTGTGCGAAAGAAAAGCAGAGATTGAAAAGGCACAGCAGAAAAAAAAAAGAAGCGTACAAAAAAAAAATATATATACCTTTTTTTTTGAGCTTCTTAAGGGCTTCAGCTCTCTGAAGCCCTCAAATATCTCTGATTTTTTTGATAGTATTTTTAAAATCTATAGCATTTTGTCGGAACACATCCTGTCTTTTGACTTGAGTAGTTTTATGCATAGTAAGTACTATAGCTCCAATCATGGCTACTAATAAAATAAGACTAGAAACCAAAAACAAAACAAAATAGGTGGTATAAAGTAAATTGCCTAATGTTTCCAAATTAGTCCAACTTTGTATCTTTTCAGCATAAACTGTATATGTTAAATAAGTTGTACTCAATTTCGTTGGTAATATTGGAATGTAATCATTATCTACAATGAAAAAAATTTCCAACAAAAAAATAACTCCAATAATACCACCTACAGGTAAATAACGCAATACATTCTCGTGAATTTCTGCTATTTTAATATTTAACATCATAACTACAAATAAAAATAAAACGGCAATAGCTCCTACATAAACCACTAAAAAAATCATAGCAAAGAAGTCAAGACCTAACAAAACAAGTAAACCCGAAGTGTTGAAAAAAACTAGGATGAAAAATAAAACAGAATGGACTGGATTTTTAGCACGTATTACCATAACACTAGAGACTAAAGCAATGCTCGAAAAAACAGAAAAAAGTATCATGGTTATTTTACTAAGTCCCTTTTATCATTTGCTTTAACAATGAAAAAAAATATATAGATTTTTTTTCTACGCATCATCAACAGATGATGCGAGCAAACACAAACCAAGCAAAAAAACAACTAAAGCCAACACATGTACACAGCATAAAACAAGAGCCCCATAAGAAAGAGATGCTGCTGGAGCAGAGGAAGGGGGTGCAAAATAAGAGCGCTCTCGATACGAAAGAAGCCTTCGGTTATAAAGTGCAACAGGAAGCAAAAAAAAATATGTATTTTTTTTCTTATCTTTGGACATAACTCATTAGAAGGCTTCGTGAAACGACATCGTAAATAAAAAGTGTCTCGGGTTCTCGTCAGTCGAGTAGATAAATCTCGATATATCGTAATAGTAAATGCATGGCGAACTTTGCGCATAGTTAGATACAAAACTATCTTTCGCCCGCGAAACCCGTAAACTATTTTTTGATTTTGAATTTGCATAAAGCAAATTCATCATGTATGATAATTAATGACCATCTTTATTTAGAAACTTTATTCCTTGTGCCCTTTAAGTAAGGAGACACTCTTGAACCTTGCATCACCGGAGGGGAGGCTCCCAGAGCTGAAACCGCTTCGAGTTGTTTCCGTACGAAACGATTCATAAATTAGCTATGTAAATGAGCGCTTTTCACTTTTGCTTCTTAACCAAATATTGGAAAGCACCTGGTGGGGGTCGAAGACCCCAACTTATGGAATTGGGGCAAGGAGAGGCTTAGAAACTTTGAGTTTTATTCTCTTCTAGAACGAACATAGATGGCACAAAATCACGCATACTTTGTTTGTCCATTAGCTTATAGAAGAAAGGCGCGCAGCAAAGCAACAACAAATCTAGGCGCACAAAAATATATATATTTTTTTTCATATATATTCTAAAATGCAGAAAAAGAAAAGGAAAAAAAATAGTTTTTTTTAGCTCTTCAAATCCCTTTGATTATGCTTCGCCTTCCCTTTTTTCCAAAAAGTTACCATTCATTATTTAAGAAAAAAAAACATAAATAGAAATTAACGCTCTATTCGCTGCGCGAATGTAGGGCAAATCAAGCTTGGCTTCGAGGTATTTCTTCATATATAATATATATATGAAAAAATGCCGAAAGAAATAAAAATAGTTTTTATTTTCTCTCAAGACTTTGCCTTGAAAAGCGTCAAGCAACGAAGCGGCTTCTTGGTTTCGCTTCGCGCTAAAATAAGAAAAAGAGAATTTATCATGGCTTGCAGTCCGCTAGAACAATTTGCAATTATTCCATTGATTCCTATTCATATAGGAAATTTCTATCTTTCATTTACGTGCGGAGCTCGCGCCCACTACTCGATGGTGTAAACACTTCGTCGGGGTTTTAGACGATAATCCAACTCCCGTTTACTTCGATGCCGCGGAGTCAGGAAAGTGTTCTGTACAGGATAGGTTTACGAATCTCGAGGATGGCCGCTCTTTTGGAAGGGAGACGAATATGAGGACTGATCTACTCGAATAGCCGATGGTAAACGGTGAAAGGGGGCCCCTGGGTCAGGATACAAACCATGTTCACGCCGGCACACGCCGGTCGAGCCTAGAGAATCCTAGACAGAACGCGCGGGTAGATCAACCGGGGTGACGGCTATGAGGGCGAGTGCCCAGGATACTGTGGAATGCGCCCGAGGATGGATGGAAAACCTCCCACAAAATAAGCGGCGAGGAATGTAGTCCTGGCTCTCTTCGGCCAAGTAAAAAAAAAGACTTTTTTTGAAGATGGCTGCCGAAGCCTCTATTGAACCTTTGGCCGGTCCCGAGGAGAGAGGAGCCGTATGATGGGAAACTATCACGTACGGTTCTATAGGAGGGGAACGGCTTTAAACCTGGAGCCTAAGTAAGGTTTAAATGGAGCAAAAAAAAAGTCTTTTTTTCCCCTACCGACCCAATTCATCTTTGTTTATGCTATTAACTATCAGTCTAGTATTGCTTCTAGTTCATTTCGTCACTTTAAATGGAGGACACTTAGTACCAAATGCTTGGCAATCCTTTGTGGAAATTATTTATGATTTTGTGCTTAACTTGGTAAATGAACAAATAAGCGGTCCTTCTTCGATGAAACAACGCTTTTTTCCCCTAATCTTTGTCACTTTTACTTTTTTATTATTTTGTAATCTCATTGGTATGATACCCTATAGTTTTACAGTAACAAGTCATTTTATAATTACCCTGGGTCTTTCATTATCTCTCTTTATCGGAATCACTATAGTTGGATTTCAAACACATGGGCTTCATTTTTTTAGTTTTTTATTGCCGCAAGGAGTACCCTTGCCGTTAGCACCCTTCCTAGTACTTCTTGAGCTAATCTCCTATTGTTTTCGCGCATTAAGTCTAGGAATACGTTTATTTGCCAATATGATGGCTGGTCATAGTTTAGTCAAGATTCTAAGCGGGTTTGCTTGGACTATGCTATCTATGGGGGGTATTATGTATTTAGCCCATCTTGCTCCTTTTTTGATAGTATTCGCATTAACTGGTTTGGAATTAGGTGTTGCTATATTACAAGCTTATGTTTTTACTATTTTAATTTGTATTTACTTAAATGATGCTATAAACCTTCATTAAAAGACTGGTGTAAGGAGCATCAAAACAGTTGCTACATCACTTCTTTACTTTTTCAGCGCGTCATCATCAACCATAATAAAAAAGCTGGATTTGCTTTTGATGACGCAAAATAATGCACACCAATGGTCGGAGACCTTTGAACGCGCGGGATGCAAAAAGCTACGAAAAAAAAAAAATATTCTATATATATATATATTTTGCTGCGCCCTGCGGCCTTGTAGAGTTACCTGTTGGCGGAAGCGAATGTCCCAGGACCCCGGGGACTAATTCCTACCGAGACAAATAGGCCGCAGGTACTCCCCTCCCCCCGCTTTGGACAAAAGTTGTCTCTGGTCGCCTGGGTGTGCTGATAATCGTGCGCTACCTGCAGAGTGCAAAAAAAAACTACGCGAATATTACTAGCTTTCTGGTCAATTTTTTGATAAAAAAAAAATGGCAAGCAAAAAAATATATATTTGCTGCGCCCCCTCTCTCGCAACCCTTCTTCGATGCGGCAAACTTGTCTTGAGCTGAGACGCTTCATGTCGGATTCTGAGAAAGGACGAAGAGTTTAATTATGATAAAAGCCATGAAATCCTTATAAATGAGTAGCCAAGCGCATAACGAAGCTTGGCCTTTTTTTTCTTTCCCCAATCCCCGAGTGGGGCAAAAGGGGGCGAAGCGCAGAAAAGTTTCTAAATAATGCGCTTCGCCTCCCTCGTCGCCTGATCCCTTTTTTCTTCCACTTTAAATAGTTTACCACCATCTATAATGCGAAAAACTACGATTGGCTTGAGCCAGTTTATGAAGATCATCCCTTTTTTTACGTGCAATCCCCATCTTTCGGGAAGCATCCAATATCTCATCAGCTAAACATTGGTCTAAGCTCATGCTTTTTTTGTTCATATGTCGTTTGGCTGCTGCTTCGAGCATCCAACGAATGGCTAAGGTTTCTTGACGATTTGTTGCTATAATAGATGGTACTAATTGAGTAGTACCAGAAATTCTTACCTTTTTCACTTCACAAACAGGCTTGACATTTTCTATGGCATTAACCAAAAGTCTTAATATATCGCCATGCTGAGCTAGACAATGAAAAGTTTTATAAACAATAGCACGAGATCTCGTTTTTTTACCATCAATCATGCAAATATGGACCAATTTTTTTATTAATTGTTTTTGTTTACCATGCAAGCCCCGGATATAGCCCAAATTGTCTGAGCTATTGTATGTGCTTGCCCCACGACCTTTAGGTGTTGATGGCACATGCCCTTCCAGGGCATAGCATAAATATCTACAATGCAATAAACGACGCGCAAAAAAGCTTTCTGAAAAAAAAAATAGATTTTTTCCGCTAAATGGCCAATTTTCATTTTTTTTCATTCCCGCCTTTTCTGAAAGTTTTGATTGGTGAAACCAATCAAGGGATGAACCAAACACAAAGCTGAAATTCGATGATTTGACAAATAAATTCATATAGAATCTTTGGGTTTTTTTGTACCATATTTAGATCTGCCTCGACGTCGACCCGGTATTCCCTGCAAATCTTTAACTCCTCGAATACAATGGTATTTCACACCTGGCAAATCTTTCGCTCTACCCCCTCTAACCATAACCACAGAATGCTCTTGCAAATTATGGCCTTCGCCAGGAATGTAAGCAATTATCTCATTTCGATTGGTTAAACGTACTTTGGCTATCTTGCGTAAAGCCGAATTAGGTTTCTTTGGTGTTCTCGTCGAAACACGCAGGCATACTCCCTGCTTTTGAGGACATTGAGTTAAAGCTCGAGTACGTTGTGTGCGCCGTTTTGACTTTCTACCATGACGAATCAATTGATTTATTGTAGGCATATTTCACTTACTTGGTTTTTTTTAGAAAGTTGCATAAAATTTTTCTTTCCTATTTCTCATGCTCTATTCGTTATGGGAATGGGGCCTTTGGCCGCTATACCCTGCGCCCTGAATCATGACTATGCTTTCTACGATCTTTATTAACCATAAGAGCACGAAGAAAAATAATAAGAGAGGACAGTTAAGAACTATAATAAAGGGCGAAGACACTGAAAAAAAGTATTTTTTCAATTTTGTGTTTCCTTTCCTTTCCTTTTTTAGACAAAAGATTACTACGTGCACTAGAAAACTCATTTTGCCTGGCTCTCGGAGCATATGTAAGGCTATCCCTTACGGGATTCGAACCCGTGTTCTCGCCATGAAAAGACGATGTCCTATACCCCTAGACGAAAGGGACAAAATTATTTCGAAGAAAAATGGTCAGCCAGAGCTGCGCTGCAATAAGAAGTGGCACTATTTGCGGCCTGTGGCCCGTTTATGCGCCACTTTTGTTTTTCATCTACCTACGATAATTCATAAGGCTTTCAACTAAAACAAAAACTCTGTACCTGGCCAACATTACACCAAGAGCGACCTTTCGTCTGCATTTCCGCTTTTTGGCTAATAAATTAGGAAAAATGAGAAAAGAAAATCTATATATATTTTTTCTTTTTTAGCTGTAAAACCTAAACGCAAGCTAATCCAATCAACTAAGTATTCTTTTTTGGACTTTATTACTAACGTGTTATAATGCATCCAGATCACGTAACTGCGGTCAAAATGTTGACTAATTTGACCACAGTGCTATAATATTTCTCAAGTCACAGAAGGCATAAACGCATTAAAATAATGCAATACGGTAGGTAATACTATCCTAATTTACAAAGTATACCGTCGCTTAAGTGAATAGGGGAAAAAAAACATATCTCTTTTTTTTTTTCAATTCTTAAAATATTTTTTCATATATATATATGTTTTTTCTTTGTAGTAATGCAGCCTACATGACACGTAGTGTTTAAGAATAATAAATTTATGCTTGTAGCTCAATCGGATAGAGCACCAAACTACGGATTTGGGGGTTGAGAGTTCGAATCTTTCCAAGCATGGGCCTATCCATCAAATTCTACTAAGAGAATACATCTGATAAGTGTAAAGGCCTTCTTACTTTTTTCTTATTGTCCCGTTTTGCCAGGGCTGGCGGAAATAGCTTAATGGTAGAGTATAGCCTTGCCAAGGCTGAGGTTGAGGGTTCAAGTCCCTTTTTCCGCTTGGGTTTTTTTTACCCAGTTTTCTCCCCCAAAAATATATTTTTGTGTTGTTGCCTAAGGCACCAGAAGAGAGTAGCCAACAAAAGCGGGGGCCACTTCGTTGCTTGGCAAATATGAATCATTTGTCATGATTCAGGGCGCAGGTGCTGCCTCGCGCTGCGGTGGCCATTTCCCTGCAAAACGCAATTAAACCGGTGCTGTGCCCACATTATTCGCATAACAAATGATGGGGCTGGAAACAACCGGGAGGATGGAGAAATAAAACGGTACGGAGAGTCATTGGAGGCACAGTGCTTTCCGGCCAATCTGCAAATTCTTTTTTTTATCGCGCCCCGCGAAAAGCTACGCTCTGTGGCCTTGCTCGAATTCAGCCTTGAATCCAATTCAGGCTTGTGGATTATGCAATTATTATCTTATGCTGAACTTATAAAAATTTTATTTATTTATCAGACATACAACTTACAAACATAGACTTAGTGCCATTTGATGGCTGACTAAGAATAGGGGAGAAGGGTATAGAAAGAAAAAACTGATCAAAAATAAAGTAATTGCTAGTAGTAAGGATTTTTCACGATCCATGGGTTTATATAGAATCCATTTTTTAGGTGTATCAAAATACATTATTTTCACAAAGCGTATATAATAAAAACAACTGATAACACTAGTAACAACTCCTATTAAGGCTAGTAAGTAAGCCCCACAGCCTAAAGCAGCGAAAAACAAATAAAATTTGCTACAAAATCCGGCTAACGGGGGTATTCCTGCGTATGAAAACATAGTAATAGACAAGGTAATAGCTAAAATAGGATTAGTTTTGGCTAAAGCACCTAAATCTGCTATATATTTGAAACGGTTTTGACGTAATGCTAAAACTATGGCGAATACATTGATGGTCATTAATACATAAATAAAAACACCAATTAGTAGCGATTGAATACCTTCTATGGTTCCACATGAAAAACCAATAAAAAGATAACCTACATGTCCAATAGAACTATAAGCTAAAAGTCTTTTGACTTTGTTTTGAGCCATTGCAGCCAATGCTCCTAAGATCATAGAAGCAATGCTGCAAAAAAAGAATAATTGTTGCCATGTTGGATCATAAAAACTATAAATAAAAACACGTACCATATTGGCAAGAATAGATATTTTAGGTGCAATAGAAAAGAATGCTGTAACCAGAGTAGGTGAACCCTCGTATACATCAGGTGCCCACATATGAAAAGGAACTGCTGTGATCTTAAATAAAAAACCTACAGCAATAAATAGAATCCCCATAAAGATACCACTAGATTGAGCACCAAATAAAGTGATTTCATATCCAGTGAAAATCTTAGCTAATTCCTCAAAGTTGGTAACTCCAGTAAATCCATAAATCATAGAACAACCAAACAATAAAATTCCAGAGGAGAATGCACCTAAAATAAAATATTTTAAGCCAGCTTCTGTAGAAAATTCAGAGTCTCTTTTTGATGCTGCGATCACATAAAAACATAAACTTTGAAGCTCAATAGCTAAATACATGGCAATTAAATCATAAGCCGAGATCATGAAGAGCATACTGCAAGTAGAAAGTAGAATTAAGATAATAGATTCAAAAGCATTCAAACTCTCTTCTTTGAAATAACCCAGACACATAACTATAGTGCTAGCCGTACTTACTAATAGAAAGATTTGGCAAAAATATGTAAAATGGTCTATTATTAAATTATTATAGAATAAGTTGGCAACAGTTAGAGGTGTGCTAGAAGCAAGCAATAAGATAGTTATTAGATACCGATAGGGCGCTTTTTCCCCCCGGTCAGAACCACACGTGCGAATTTCCCCGCATGTGGCTCGTCCATGATAACTTTTTCAGGTCTACGGACCGAAACCCTCTAAGGCCGGGCCTGCATGAACAAAATAGAACACTGATCATTTCGGAGTTGGCGTTATACCACATTGTCTTCCATTCCTTTATTGGTTACGTCCGTAGGTAGATTAATCAAATTCGCTGTTTTACCTAGCTATTGCCTTAGTCTTTTACTCAGGGTCCTATATTGACGTAGGAAGTCTCATATTAATGAGGCTGAAAGTAGTAGCACTCAGCAAAAAAAATATTTTTTTTTCTCTTTAATGATATTATCCTAAATTGCTTCTCCGAGTTTGCTATACTTTCCAGACGCGGACGCGCGCCGCGTCTGGAAAGTATAGCGCATTATCACCTACCTCCTTTTCCTCCGAGGCTTTCACTCTAAAGGGCATCGTCGTATGCTCAACATTAATTGCCCGGTGTATTTCTCAGGGTACATTATGGAAGGATCTGTCACCCGTACATTTTTGGCTAAAGCCCTGGTCTCCAAGGGATTTTCAAAAGTATTTTTGAAAATCGTAGCAAATTTGCTACGCCCTGCTTTTATCAAAGCCGGTTCCTATAGAGTCCATTTGGATGATCCCTAGTTTGCGCGTTTGGCCGTTTGCTTGTCGTTTAGTTACGTGTACCACTTTTTCTGTTCATTACAGTTACGTCCGGAGGGTTGCTCGCACGTGAGTAGCGTTCGAGCCCACGTGCCTTCCGGCCCCGCCTTTCGTTGGGGGAAGTTACCTTACTCCTATGCGTACGATTGTACTTGCGACGAAACGCGGATAGTACCCATGCTATGGTTCCCTGCGGTCTGATCCCACATAAGGTTAGGGAGTCTACCCGAGCGATTGTTTTCAACCTTCGTCTTCCCAAACGCGCCCTCCTAGGCGCACAACACTAAGTAAACCAAGCCAACTAACATTACACACTAATGGTGGATAATCATATTTTTTAGAGGTACTAAATACAACTCCATAAATAAGCAAAATGATGGTTGCGTTAATAAGAAAGATCTCTGGGAAAAGCGCTAAAAAATCATGTTCAAACATTTCTTCAAACCTCTTTTTTATGTTTTTTAATCAAATTTTCCATGTTGCACTAAGTTACTTACGGAAGTATGCATACACTCTAGGAAAACTTCGGGGTAAACACCCATCCAAATAACTCCGACAATAAAAGGGAAAAATATTAGAACTTCTCTTCTATTTAAATCGGAGAATTTTTGGAGGAATTTGGGTTTGAAATTCCCAAAAATCACACGATTATATAACCAAAGAGAATAAGCTGCGCCTAAAATCATTCCAAGTGCCGCTAATGTAGCCACTAAGCTATTTCTTTGGAAAGCTCCTACTAAAATAAGAAATTCTCCAATAAAGCTGCTAGTACCTGGTAAACTCATATTGGCTAAGGTAAAGAATAAGAAAATCGTAGAGAACATTGGCATGGTGCTGACTAAACCTCCATAATATTTAACAAGTCGAGTCTTATGTCGGTCATATAAAACACCAACACATAAAAAAAGGGCTGAAGAAACCAGTCCATGACTTAACATAAGTAAAATACTACCTTCAATTCCTTGTATGTTTAGACTGAACATACCAATAGTCACAAAATTCATATGAGCTACTGAAGAGTAGGCAATAATTTTCTTCAGATCGATTTGTCTTATTGTAGTCAAGGAAGTATATATAATAGCAATAACGCTTAGAGTATAAATGAAAGGGGTAAAATRAAGTGTTGCTTCAGGAAACATGGGTATGGAAAATCTTAAAAAACCATAGGTTCCTAATTTTAAAAGAATTCCTGCCAAGATTACAGATCCAGCCGTAGGTGCCTCTACGTGAGCTTCAGGTAACCAAATATGAACTGGTATCATAGGCACTTTTACGGAAAAAGAGGCAAAAAAAGCAATCCATAGCAATATTTGGCGCCGCTCACTAAATTCTGTGGTTAATAATATTTGTAAATCAGTGGTTCCTGTTTGGAAAAAAATAAATAAAATGGCTAAGAGCATGAAGACAGATCCAAGTAAAGTATATAAGAAAAACTGATATGCTGCTTGTATTTTTCTTTGTCTAGAACCCCATACCCCTATGATAATAGGAGAGTAAGGGCTGATAGGCCCTCGCCTTTATCTCCCCATGATAAATGGGTCAAGAAAAAGCTCCTGCAGGTACCCACACCCTTCTCAAAGAACCGTACGTGACACTCTCGCGTCATACGGCTCCCTCTCGAAATAGCGGATGAGCCGAAAATAAAAGCCAAGCAAAAAAAAAAATATATAGATTTTTGCAGAAAGGGCTTTACGCCTTTTTTTGGCTTGTAGTTCTAAAATATGTTTTTATTTCGGTCTTCTTGTTTGTTCCAGCGACTCATCCCGCGGCCTCGCCAATCACTTCCCGACAGAGCAATTTACCTGAGGTCCTCTTTCAAGACCAGGACAATTATCCTTGTCAGCTCAATAGATAGTTAACAAATTTATGTCCATCCCCAGGCGTCGGGTACTTTTTTTTCCCCACCACCCTTGTAGCTGTCACCTGTAATTCGCGCAAGTGTGTCTGCACCCCCTAGACTTCACGAAAACTGTTTTCTCGCAGCAAAACTCCATTCTTCCCTGCCCAGGAGCACCCTTTCCTGCATGTTTATACAATATTCGAGTAGGCAGAGTGAAGTCCTGCAAAGTACCCACTCAAAGTACCCCCCAATCCCAAATAGGTCATCCGACGGGTTCGATCAAAAAGCTATGCTTACACACAAGACTACCCTTCTCCGAAAGCTTCGCGGGACCTACTAGTCTTCGGATCGCTCAGAAGGGTTTACTGCACAAGGCTCCTGCAGAGGCGGCGCTTCGCGCCGCGAATATCAGATGCTAAGCTCCGCACAACATAGGGATTAAAACGCTTTCAAAAAAAACATAAAATAGTAAGAGATCCAGCATGCAAAACACAGCAATCATGAAAGATTCTAAAATTAGAAATGCTATCATATACTCTTTTTTATAACTTTTAATACTGGACCAACCTACTAAAATGCAAATAGGAATTAAAAATGTGGTCAAGACCACGAAAAATGAAGAGATACCGTCTATACCTATATAAAAATTGATGTTTGAGTAAGGAAGCCATCGAATGGTTTCCACGAATTGAAATTTGGCTGTAGAATTATCAAATTGTATCCAAAAAAGAAGGGAATATAAAAAAGTAATCAAAGAGGTGCACAAACCAATACTTCGTATCAGTCGTATTCTGGGATCAGGGATAACAAAAAGAATAATGCTTCCTAACAAAGGACACAGAATAAGACCACTGAGATTGGAATAAAATGGAGCTAAAAATTGTAACATAAATGTTTACTCTTTTTCCAAAAGATCCCGAGGACGCAGCTCTCTTCGCAGGCCGCGGGTCCACATTTCTTCTCGGCTTTCCAGCCATAGCGGCCCTATGGGTATATCATCATAACCCCCTGCACTTATATACATAAGGTCCGCAATAATTACATAACTGGATGAGCTTTTATACGCGCATACTATGTAATTGCATGCTTCGCCTTTCGCGGCTTTGCCCAACGCTTTAGGGCTTGCTACTATGACCGTGCGGCCCCAGTCACAGTCGAGGGGGATAAAAAAAGCCGAAAAATTTTTTTTTCGTTTTATGGGTTTTTCATTTTCTTTTCTTCTATCTATCATTCCATCATTCCAACCTTTACTTTTTTCTTCCCCTTCTTCAGATTCCTCATAGACCCAAAGCAATTACGTGCTTTATTCGAGGACCCACTTTTTTTCATGACTTATCGTAGCTAGACCGCAAAGCATAGCTTAGGCTCCAAAAAATCTATTTTTTTGCTTGTTAGGCTTCGTCGGGCCTCAGCCCTCCCTCTCAGCGAAGCCGAAAAAAGGGCGTAACACTGGCTTATCATTGCGTCCCTTAAAGTTTCATGGTATTATATAAGGAAGTATGCCCCTTTAGTTTGTGCTAATGTCTTTTTCAAAATGNATAAATAGAAAACTCACTATGTAAATAAAATACAATCGATTATCTACCCAAAAAGAAATAAAATCCCACAGACCTATTATGGTAATAAATATGGTTAAGCCAATCAACATTACAAAAGCATAATGATAAACAAAACCACTTTGAAGTTTACTTATCTGCTTGGCTAATTTTCGAAATGTGTACGAAATTCCATAAGGCCCCAAGATTTCAATAGCACCCTTGTCTAAAACTTTAAATGAAACTTCATATCCAAAACGCAAAAAGAACCTAAGTATAAAGTCATTAAAAATTTTATCAAAAAACCAGCGCTTATTTAAAAAGCAATATAATCGATTACCGAAAGTACTAGTTTTCAAAGCAAAAATTAATGGATTTGCTACAAAATTTATATTATATGCCATAAAAGCACCTAAAGTACTAAACAAAAGAGGAATTAGTTTAATAATTGTTGGAGTAGCAAACTCGGATTCGGCAAGAATTTCATTTTTTGGTAGTATGAAAAGGGAATTAGCCCAAAAATTGGTACCTAAACCAATCATCATATCGGTCCCTAAGCCGTTCCATCGCTGGAACGGCTTGGCTTCAAAACCGTACGTGAGGCTTCCGCCTCATACGGCTCCTCTCAGAATTTTTACGTCTTCTCGCTTGTTTTCAACATGGCAGTGCTTGTCCATAAGTTTTCTACGAACACGCAAGGATTTCACTTTGATGTGCTCTACTTTTATGCCCTCGTGGTTTTCTAACATGTTTGGGCGGTGTAATAAAGAGCCCTTCAGCATTTTGGTTACCCAAAAAAAATATTTCTTTTTTTGCTGTTGCGCTCTTACGCCGCTTTTCATTTTATTGGGCTCTTATCTTGTCTCGCCTTAATGTGCTTGTGGCTAGCTATCCAACTCAGTTTGACCAGGTAATATTCTTTTTTCACCCCAAAGGCCGTTGTGTAAGAGTCGTACAAAATCCAGTTATCTTGGTATACTTTCCCTTCGAAGAGCCAACTTCTCTTTTCGGGGAAGTACTTTTGTTTTATTTTATCACGACCCCATGTCGGGTGCCGTCGGTATACCCATGCTCGGATCTTTTGAAAAATATCATGGTCTAATCTCCGAAATATATTGTTGCATTCAGAGTATTTGAAGTAGTGGCCCCATCCCACTATTTTGGGTACCAGGGTTATGATAAGTTGGTAGGCTGCTTTTCCTTTTGAAAATTGAATGGCCCGTCGAATATCTTCGAGAAATCTCCAGCGAGACTCACGAGACGGAGTTATTAAAGTTTTAACTTTGCCCCATTTCCAAATATGATTGATTGAAAACCCTAGAAATTGGAACCCGGATCCGGTGTTGACTATCTGGATCTTATCCGAGTGCAATTCTAGTCCCATGCACTTTAACCATTCCCTCAGGAATGCCTGAGCTTGTTCTATGACCTCCTTGGATTGGTGAAGTACAACGAAGTCATTGGCATATCTAACCAGTATTGGAGTTGGTTCTTTGGGATATGCTCTCAGTGACCACTGTGTTAAAGCTGTCTCCATTCCATGGAGAGCAATGTTGGCTAGCAGTGGGGAGATCACGCCATAGGTGCCCCTTTCCATGTACTGAGCATTATTTCCTAATCCGGTCATGAGGTCGACTTTAAGCCAGGCTTTGACCTGTTTGGCTAAATTAGGCAGAGTTTTCAGTTTGTCCAAGAGGGCTTGGTGGTTGATGCGATCGAAAGATTTGGAAATGTCCGCGTTCAGAACATACTTGGGCTTGGCTCGAATAGCTAAGAATATGGCTTTAATGGCATCCTGGCAGCTTCGTCCGGGTCTGAATCCATAGGAATTGGGTTCGAAGCGGGCTTCCCATTCACTTTCTAGGGCCATTTTGGCCAAAGCCTGCTTGGCTCTGTCTTCGATAACACAGATAGGCCAAAGAGATGAAAAGACGCAAAGTTTAGTTCGAAAAAAAAAATATAGATTGTTTTTTGCTTTCCATTTTCCAGGCGCAAAGCGTACCTGATTTACTCTACGTTTTCTTGCGCCTAATGCAGAAAAGGCACAACAAAATCTATATTTTTTTTTTGCTCGTAGTTTTCTGAGGCGCTCTTCTTCTTTCCGGGGCTTTGCTATTATTATTTGACGAATGGGCGTAGCCTTTCCATCCAATTGAAGACCTCTTGCCATCTCTATTTTTTGTGACCCTGAGGCCACCAACTTCTTGTAAATGTCAGGGTCCTTTTTCCTTGGGTTCTCCTGTGTAACTTGTCTCACGGCTAAGAGTCTGGCATGTAGATTTCGTATGAGTCTAAATTGTAGAGCACGCATCTTGTCCATATTGTTGGAGCGAGAAGCTTGGTAAATCCTGGTTTGGAGTCTAAAAACAACTGCCTCGACCTTGGGCCAAGGAATTTGTTCCCAGGGTATCGTTTGGGTATCTATGTAGAACCTACTCATAACTTATTCTCCTTTCCAGTTTTTACTGAAATTCTAAATCTCCAAGTGGGCAGAATAAAAATGCTGCAAAAAGAAATATATTTTTGCTGGCGGCACTCTGCGGCCTTGGCTTTTTAGAGAATCCTGCTCTCGTCGGGTTTATAGCTTGGCAGCCCGCCGCAAGGGAGCCCTACCAGAGTTTTCCAGTTTTGAGTGTATTGGATAGTTATAGCGGCCCATAGGCGCAAGATGTACTTTGCGGGGTGGTCCCTTGGACATAGTCCTTTCAGACAGTGGCCATTTAGTCCATGGTCCATTGGATGTTCGGTGCAAGACCAAAAATTTGCACTGCAAGTACCCTTCATTCCTCCCTTTAACTCTAGGGCTCGTCCCTCAGTGTGGTCAGTACTTGATACTGCCGGGCAACAAAGCTTACACTTGTTTACTTATGGTGGTTCACCAAGGCCTCTTTCCTCCTCCCTTTTTTGCTCACTTCCAACTCGGAGGCTGCCGGGCCTCCTACAAAGGCAGGAGAGTCGACTGAACATCTCAGCCATTGGCGGGAATTTCGCCCGCATCCAATTCTCAATTATTGTTCACCTTGAAAAAAAATCTATTTTTTTGGTGAGCAACAGCCGCTTCGTCACAGGGGTGACTTATGGGCTAACAGGTCACACTTTGGCCACGTATCCTACAAAAATACTTCCAAAAGCTAAAAAGATTAAAGGGATTGCCATAAGAATGGGCGCATCATGACATCGTAAGATGTCTCGCTTGAATGAATTTGTTGGTGCTAAAAAAGTTAAAAAAAGTAAACGAAAAGAATAATAAGAAGTAAAGAAGACAGAAATACTTCCCAACCAGAAAGCAAAGTTACCACTAATCGTATATTTAGTATAAGCGAGCTCTAAAATAACATCTTTAGAATAAAATCCAGTACAAAAAGGGAAACCTATTAAAGATAAGCTACCTATAAGCATCATTGCATAAGTGAAAGGTAACAAGGAAGCAAGCCCTCCCATCTTACGCATATCTTGCTCATCCGACATGGCATGAATCACTGAACCTGCACTCAGAAAGAGTAATGCTTTAAAAAAAGCGTGATTCATTAAATGAAATACGCTAACGGAATAGTTGGAAATACCGCAAGCAAATATCATATAGCCTAATTGGCTACAAGTTGAGTAGGCTATGACCCTCTTTAAATCATTCTGTAATATTCCAGTGGTTGCCGCGAAGAATGACGTCATAGCCCCTACGAAAGTAATAACAATCAAAGCAGTGGGTGAATATTCGAATAAAGGGGAGCACCTTGCTATCATAAAAACGCCTGCTGTTACCATAGTAGCTGCGTGAATCAAAGCAGATACTGGAGTGGGCTACTCTTTAATAACCTCTTACGCTTCCATAAGGCAAAGAAATAATATTTTAGAGCATTAGGTAATAAGCTGATGAGCCTAGCAAGAGTAGGGACTGTATCTTCCACTTATGAAATAGAGACTCTCCCAAGAATCTTCCGGATGCTGCTTAACAACTAAGATGTTTTTTTTCTTTTATACATGAGACGCCGTCTCAGCCCCATCCCAACGCTTCTTGCAAATATATATATATATTTTGCGAAGCAACAAAAAATATTTGAGCTTTTTTGCATCCTGGTAGATCCGGCGCGCGGCGCTTTGGTAAGGATGACAATAAGGCTGGGCTCAGGCCGAAAGTTGGAATGTAACATCAGGCCGCGATAGACTATATAATCTAAAAAAAAGATGATCGAATTTTCACAACAAAAGAATGCTTCGTATCTTAGTTAAATCTGGACAGCTTCTCTTTTCAAGGATAAATTCCATTTCGAACAAGAGGTCTCACGTACAGTCTCTGAGGATCCTATAGAGCTACTTCAGCCTTTACTTCGTTGGGTGGGCTTGGCCTTCCTTTATAGGTTTCCTGCTGATTGGTCAAAATGAGATATTTTTCCGATGGGGACTCTCATTTGGTCGACGATCCCAGCATACAGTGAGATTGTTATAATGTACCTACTGGCACATGAGAGCCCTCAAATATTCGAAAACCCTCCATTGCATCAGGTAACCGAGTATGCAATCCTATTTGTGCAGATTTTCCAACAGCGCCAATGAAAAGTAAAATACAAATAACAGTTATGGCATGAAATCTCATATTGCAAAAAATAAAATAATGATGGGGTTCAGAAAAGGCGCTGGCACGAGCAAAAATAGTCGAAAAGTCTACTGTTTGAAAAATAGTAAAACAACCCATAATCCCGAGAGCTAATCCGAAATCACCTACTCGATTGACAAGCATAGCTTTTATAGCCGCTTTATTGGCCTGAAGTCGTGTAAACCAGAAATTAATTAACAAATATGAAGCGAGACCTACTCCTTCCCATCCTAGAAATAATTGAATAAAGTTATCTCCGGTAACCAACATTAGCATAAAAAAAGTAAAAATGGATAAATAGCACATAAATCGAGGGCTGTGTGGATCCTCGGACATATATGAAATGGAATAAAGATGAACTAAGCTACTTACAAATGTAACCACAATTAACATAACTACAGTCAGACTATCAAACACAGAGTCAAAAGTTTTATTTTACTGGGGCCTTGAATCGCAGAATCAAGCAGGAAATTTTTTGCGTACTGCAATGCGGCGGCCGTTCACCCAAGTAAAATAATAAAGTGCTCCCCGAACCGTGCGAGATAGTTACCTATCACACGGCTCACCAACTTGAGATTGTTATTAAGGCTTGAAGTAACCACTGTATGTTTAAGCAGGCCGCAGCAAAAAATAGATTTTTTTTTATTCGCTGCATATTTTTCACTGCCTAGTCGTATAGTGTCGCTTACCTTTGCCACTCAAGCGTACGGCATCTGCCGACTTAGGCCTCTTCCCTTTTGCCGATATCAGCAAAAAACTCGCAGCAAAAAAATTTTTGAATATTTGAAACGAGTAGGCAGGTACTATGAGCCCTCTGTCCCACGCATCTCTATCTAGAAAAATGTATGGTTCACCGGTTCCACCGAATACTCTATCGATATCGAGACATAGGTGCGCTTGAAGTGGTGTGCTGTCCTTATTGGACTCAGGCCCCCTATTTGTTCAGGCATATGCGCCCTCTTGCTGCCCATATGCAGGGGGAACGCGGGCCTCGCCTGATGCGCCAAGTTTGGGATACCTCCTCCACCTTACGTTTGTGACCTACGGCCTCACCTGTGTCTCAAAGACACGGTCAGGGCACAGCCAAGGATATTTTTGGCTACGTCCAGTATGCCCTTTTCCCGACATGCTATGATGCTCTAAAGGAGTTCGCCCCATAGAGTGAGTCGAGTCCGTCTCACCGCAGAGCAACTGCAGCGTCCAGATAATCTATCCAGCAATTCATCCGGTGACTTCACGGTCGCCAAAGAAGCCCCAAGAAGCATCAAACATCTCGGAAAAAATCCATGGAGCAATTTTTATATAGCAAGCACTGGCTCCCAGTGCAACTTCATAAAAAGCAATCAGAGATAAAATAAAAGATAATGAAACACACGTGGTTGTGACTATAGCAGTTCCTCGTAAACCAAGAAAACGACCAAAAGCACCTGCTACACAACTACCTAGTAAAGGTAAAGTTACAATTAATAAATACATACATAAATCATTTTTTTTTATTGTGACCAAAATACAGTCGATTGGGTAGATAATTGATTGTATTTTGGGCGACATCTGCACAAGCCAAGACTTAGATGAAGGCTCTGTCAATGTTAATAAATTGACACAGCCCAATAAGTTTTTGGCGCATCCAATAGAGTTCGCCGCATGTCATTACTATATAATGACATAATTGAAATTGAAAGAGAGGTCATCTCGGATCACTCCATTTTATTAGTAATCCACTCACCATCTGCAAGGAGTGCCAAAAATTCCTTTTACTAAGTGCCGAAAAAAACTCTTTTTTTGCGCACAGCGGGCGGAACAAGCTTGGCTACGCTGCTGTTACCACTTTATTGGTCTTTGTAGAAGCTCATGAGGCCATTTAAATAATAAAAGAGAATAAGGCGGACAAAAAAAATCTTTCTTTTTTTCTCCTACTTTGTTCGCGAAGCAATTCAGCGGGGGGGAAGAATGACCCCTGGCTAAACGAAGCCTTTATTTGATTGACGAGGACGATGGAAATAGGGGGCTGGGGCGCTGCCGCTTTAAATTTGCAGCACCCCAGCAAGTAGTGGGTAATTCTACTTGCTTTCGGGCTTGCCAGTTGTGAAATTAATGACTGCTGATAGCTGGTTTAGCTCAGCTCGCTATCTACTCTATTAAGACTTCTTGCCGTAGAGGCTTGCATCTGTAAGTTACTCGCGTAAGGCCATGCTTTTCAGAATCGGAGAATGAAAACTCTCCTAGTGCCTTCATTAGGACTTATGAATTCAGCGAATTACGTGCACCCCTATTTTGCTACTTTACATTTGGTCGACTTTCTAGAACTCAATTGTTATCCAGCCTGGAATCTTCCGAAGTGACGTCACCTTTGCTTAACCCAGTAGCGCAAAGGCTTGAATCAAATGGCTAATCGGACTTATCTTTCCCTGGATGTCTTTCGACCATTGAATTAACCTCTACCTTCCTCCTTGGCATAGAATTGGATAATCGACATTATCTTACTCGCAAATTAATGCGAAGTTCGTAACTCGCCTACGCCGACTGAAAAGTAAGCAATAGCACGACCTGACAAAGTAGATTCTCGACCACAGGAATTTCCTTAGGCTGTAAACCGATAACAAGGGTTCTGAAGAGTTCCATTTCAGGGACGAAACAGTCTTTCTCGGAATTACACCCTTGATTAGTACTTTTAGACAGGTAACTAGTATCTTATCCTGTCATAAGTATTTTTAGCCAGGTTGGCCTGGGATGTTACCATCCAAGCGCCCCTTACTTAACAACAGAATGAAAAAAAATATATATATATTATATATATTTTGCTGCGCCCTCGGCAACTTATTATTTCTTACTATATTCTATTATATAGATGGCAAAACTACGTAAAACAAAGCTCAAAATTTTAACCTTTGCACTTTATGATTTTTTTCTAAAAAAGCATTATCTTCTTTACAAAAAGATTGTGTTTCCATTCAGCGCTTCGCTTCCCGGCAGCTCACTTGGTGAAAATGGTAAACACGACAGACTTAAAATCTGTTCCTATGGGTTATCGGTTCAAGTCCGATAGTGAGCATACTCGCTTGGTGAAAATGGTAAACACGGCAGTCTCAAAATCTGTTCCTATGGGTTATCGGTTCGAATCCGATAGCGAGTATTTTAATGTCGTCTAAATTGGAAAAAAGGGCGAGTATAACTTAATAGGTTAAAGTGTCAGATTGTGAATTTGAAAACACGGGTTCGATTCCCGTTATTCGCCAAAAAAACAAATCATCGATTAGCTTAAATCTTTACAATCTTCGAGGGCGCTGCTTTTCGCAGCAAAAAATATTTTTTGGGGATTTCCATTGAAAAAAAGAAAGCTTCGCTATAAACTACGCGCCCCTGTTCTGTCAATAAAGCCTGCGGCCTTAATTGGCAAAGTGGGGGCCCAAGTTACGGCAGTGGGTATCCTCTGCCTTCGGCCCTCCTTGCGTCTTTTCTTGTATAGTGGGTGAAGCATCAATTGGCTTGTTCAAACAAAAACATAAAGAATTATATGGGTAAAAAATGAGCTCAAAAAGTTGTTGAAATACTGATGTTATTTCTAAATTAGCCGCTTTTTTTATATCCATATGATTGACTAAAGTAGATTGAAGTTGTCCGTATAATAAAACTAGATTTTGGTTGTATGAGGCCGAAGGTAATAACTGTGACCATGTATTATCTGGTGCTTCTTTAGTTAAGTACAAGATACAAGTGGGACCTGCGCTATAAGCAAGCTGCTCAATAAAACCACCTTGCTTGTTTTTATGTGGTAGTTTTCCTTTGTAATTTGGTTGAAATAAAGTTCTACCTCGAAAGGCACACAATAGATTTTTGAGTTGTCGCCATTGTCGACTTGTCAAGCCACTACAATGAAATAAAAGAATATATGGAGATTTTTTTTCAATCTCTTGGGCTTTTTTCCGTATAACAATTTGTTTTATTAGCATAGGATCATTATTATTATTTTTTTTCTAGTTTATTCTCTTCTTATTTTTCGACATACCTTGAATTTAAGTAAGT